CTGGGGGGGGTGACACCCCTTCTCTGGCAAAGGACATGGGAGACTGAGGAGAGGGGGATGGCAGCTGAGGCGGGCGCAGAGACATGGGAGCCCAGAGGGAGAGCTTCGTGGGGCACTGGCCTCAGGCCTGCGGGTGGGCTCTGGGAGGGGTGCGGCCGGGGGTGGGGCATTGAGGGATCAGGCACAGTGGCTGGAGGGGGCGGGGCCTGGGGGAGACGCTGCCAGGGGGGCATTGGGCAGGTCCTCATGCCTACCTACCCCGCCTGCCCCCCAGGCATTGACAAGCTGACGGAGAAGTCCCAGGTGTCCGAGGATGGCACCCTGCGGTCCCTGGAGCCTGCGCCCCCCCAGAGTCCCGCGGACGGCAGCCCGGCTGAGGAGGTGGGCAAGGGGCTCTGACCGCCTGGGTCACCCAGCAGAGGCACCGTGGAGTCTCTGTGGAGGGGCTTCCCCAGACCCTCCCTTTTATTGGTCCTGGGCTTAGCCCGTGGCCTTCCGACGCCTCATCCATCAGCCTTATCGGAGGCCGGGCCGGCCTTTACCCCAAACCTGTCACGGGCTGGGCTGGGCTGGGTCGGGCAGGGCCTGGGGCCCAGGGCCCAGGGCAAAGGGTACAGGCGGGGCTGGCCCTCATGGGGAGTGAGCCCCCCGGCTCCCGGGCCAGGGGAGACCTCGCTGCCCTCCTGGGTTCCAGGCTGCGGGATGGCTGGAGGAGGGGCTGCAGCTCTGCCCTCTGCCCTCACCCTGAACCCATGCCCCACCCTCACCCCACCCCCTCCCTGGGACCAGGAGCCCAGCCCGATGTGGCGGGAGCAGCGGCGACCGTCCAGCGCGTCAGCCAGTGGCCAGTGGAGCCCCACGCCGGAGTGGGTGAGGGTTTGGGCAGGGGCACCCCCGTGGGGGCCGGGCCAGAGGCCCTGGGTGGAGCATCAGCTCAGGAAAGCCTCGGTGGGAATGTGTCCAAGTCCCAGGACTGGCCCAGGAGCGAGACTCCGGACCAGTCCTCCTGGCCGGTGACCTTGGCCTCCCTCTGACCCGGGGTGGAGGTCCAAGTGCCCACAGCACCGACTTTCCTAATGAACCACCCTCCCGCCCTCCTCCCCTGGACGCCCATCCTGTGTGACCCGAGGCCACCCTCCTGGCGCCTGCATGGGGGGGATCAGCACTCCTGCCCGAGCATGCCCCGTGAGGGTCCGAGGGGACCGGGACTGGTGTATGGGGTGTCTCAATGCCAGGCCATGGCGGACCACGGAGAACGGTCACCGCTAAGGAGCGCGGCACATCCAGGCCTCGCTGAGCGATCTGGGACACTGGCCTTGGGGAGCCTGCAGTTCTGGGTCAAGGTCAGGGTCAGGGTCAGGGTCAGGCTTCCCAGCGCCAGGAGCCCGTCCTCCCCCAGGTCCTCTCCTGGAAGGCCAAGCTGCCGCTGCAGACCATCATGCGGCTGCTCCAGGTGCTGGTGCCTCAGGTGGAAAAGATCTGCATCGACAAGTGAGGCCTGGGGGGGAGAGTGGGGGGGGGGACAGGTGGGCTCTGGGGAGGGGCCAGTCCAGGCTCGGGTGGGGGTATGATGGGAGACACGGGCCTCGGGGGTCCAGAGTGAGCCCCATGCTCCCCTTGGCCTGCATGGTGGGCTTCCATGTGAGATGCTGAGGACACCCCACCACGCAGGGGCCTGACGGACGAGTCGGAGATCCTGCGCTTCCTGCAGCACGGCACCCTGGTGGGGCTGCTGCCCGTGCCCCACCCCATCCTCATCCGGAAGTACCAGGCCAACTCGGGCACGGCCATGTGGTTCCGCACCTACATGTGGGGCGTCATCTACCTGAGGTGGGCCCGGGAGGGTGGGCCGTCACCAGCTGGGGGGTCTGCCCAGTGGGGCTCATCAGCGTCTCAGCACTGGGCCCCACCATCGTAGTGGGGGTAATGCCAAGACAGTCAACTGGGGCAGTCCTGTCTGGTAAAGGGTCGGCACCCAGGGTCCAGGGTGGGACATTGGGGTGGGCATTGCGGTGGGCATTGGAGTGGGGGTTGGGTGGGGTTGGGATGGGGATTGGAGTGGGACATTGGGATGGGCATTGGAATGGGAGTTGGGGTGGGACATTGGGGTGGGACATTGGAATGGGAGTTGGGGTGGGACATTGGGGTGGGACATTGGGATGGGAGTTGGGGTGGGACATTGGGGTGGGACATTGGGATGAGCATTGGGGTAGGGATTGGGTGGGCATTGGGGTGGAATATTGGGATGGGGATTGGGGTGGGCACTGGGGTGGGACATTGGGATGGGGATTGGGGTGGGGATTGGGTGGGACATTGGGATGGGGGTTGGGGTGGGCATTGGGGTGGGGATTGGGGTGGGACATTGGGATGGGGGTTGGGGTGGGCATTGGGATAAGCATTGGAGTGGGCATTGGGATGGGACATTGGAATGGGGATTGGGGTGGGGATTGGGATGGGCATTGGGGTGGGGATTGGGGTGGGGGTTGGGATGGACATTGAGGTGGGGATTGAGGTGGACATTTGGGTGCGGGGTGGGGTGGACATTGGGATGGGGATTGGGATGGGCATTGGGGTGGGACATTGGGGTGGGCATTGGAGTGGGCACTAGGCCGGGAGGGGTCTGGGTGGTGTCACTGCCAGCATCTCCTGGTCTTTTCTGCCCGGTGACAGCCCACTCCCTCCGCAGGAATGTGGACCCGCCCGTCTGGTATGACACGGACGTGAAGCTCTTTGAGATCCAGCGGGTGTGAGGACGGAAACCTACAGGGTCAGGGGCCAGGAGAGGGTGGGGGGTCCTGGTTCCCCCATCCTCCCCCCCACACCCCGACCCACCGACCGTTCTGAGCTTCAACTTGCTATGACCAGGGCTGGGGGCTGGCAGAGACCGAGCCTGCTAGGGTGGCAGCTCCTGGAGGCCGGGGATCGGCTCCGACCTTCCCCGAACTCCCCCACCCCCTCGGGAGCGCCCCTTCTCCCTGGCCAGAGCCCCACTCCTTCAGCTCCCCCTCAGACCTGTCTCCATGTGGCCTGAGAGAGCTGTGGGCTGTTCCTTGGGGCACCTGGGCGTGAGGGAGCCCGAGCCTCCCACTGAAGCCACCTGTGCGGCTGGGCTCTCTGCCGGGGCCTGGGGGGGGGCAGGGTGGTGGCCAGGGGCTGGAGGAGGCTGGGGGCTGGCTGGCTGCAAAAGCCAGGCTGGGGGAACCCCAAGCATTTCAGGGGTTTGGCATGGGGTGTCAAGGGTAACCTGTTCTCTTCTTCCTGGTCAGTGGATACAGCCTGGCTCCCTTTTATATCCAGTAACGGGGGCAAAGGGAAGGGGGAGGGGGTAGCCATTCAGGCCTCCCCACCCCCACCCACTGCCTGGGGGACCTCTAGGGGGCAGGACGCCACCCCTCCATTCTCCCCTCGTCCGGGCTCCGGGCTCCAGCCTCCCTCGCCCCCCTGTGTCAGTACAATCTGCTGTGTACAATCGGATTTACACTTTTCACAATAAACTCCTGTCCCCGGCCTGGCTCTCTGTGCTCGGAGGGAGCTGAGGCTTCTGCCTCCCAGAGTGAATCCCCGTGTTGGTCATTTTCTTGGGGTGAGGGGGGGCATTGGGCCTCTGGGCTGTGGCGACAGAGGAAGAGCTCACAAGAGGGGGGGGCCTACCTCCCAGGTGGGGCATGACCCCCCTGGGCTCTGCTGCCCCCAGGCCACTTAAAGGGGTGGGGTGTCCTGGGGCCTTGGCCTGTGTTGCCAGTGCCCAGTGTCACGGGGAGGGGCCCGGGGCCGCCCTCCAGGGGCCTCGCCCGCCTCACCCTGGGCCGGCCCGGTGTTTGCACTGGGCTCAGGGAGATGGATGGGCTGCCATCTCCGCCCTTGCTTCCTGATGGCTCAGAGGACCGCAGGCCTGGGGACCCACAGCAGCGGCACGGCCCTGTGGGAGCCAGCTCCGGAAGTCACCTGGGCCCGGAGTCCGAGAGGGTGTTGTACAGGGGTGTGTGTGTGTGTGTGTGTGTGAGAGAGAGAGAGAGAGAGAGAGAGCGCACTGGCCCCTCTCTCTCCACCTCCTCCCATGATCAGACAAGGCCTGGTTTCGACCTCTGCCGACCCCGAAACAGGACCGTCCCAGCCCCACAGCCCACTTCCCACAGCTCTGCCCCGGACGGTCTCTCCCCCCGCCCCCCCCCCCCCCCCGCCCCGTCCCTGAGGGCAGCCTGTCCCTGGGAACAAACGCCACGTAGCAGCCCGAATGCAATCAATCAAACAAGCACAGTGAACGAAATCAATCAAACAAGCAGGGTTTATGGCAGCGGGAGAGGGCTGTTGAGCCCTGCCTGGCAGCTAATTAATGGGCTCATTAGATCGTGTGGGGAGGAAGGGCAGGCTGCCTGACTGTCTGCTCCCAGGGTGCCCCGGGCCGAGCTAAACTGTCTGCTCCCAGGGTGCCCCGGGCCGGGCTAAGCTGTCTGCTCCCAGGGTGCCCCGGGCCGGGCTAAACTGTCTGCTCCCAGGGTGTCCCGGGCCGCGCTAAACTGTCTGCTCCCAGGGTGCCCCGGGCCGGGCTAAGCTGTCTGCTCCCAGGGTGCCCCGGGCCGGGCTAAGCTGTCTGCTCCCAGGGTGCCCCGGGCCGGGCTTGGACCACACTCCCCTCCTCCAGCAGGAGGCAGACCCAGAAGCCTGGCTGGGTAGGGGCGCCCCTCCCCAAGCTCCCGGATTCAGTCATTTCGGGCTGGCCCTCCCAAAGCAGCTGTGGGGCTTCCTGGGGGGAGGGGGGTAACAGAGGAGGGGGCAGGGCCAGGCATGTGCCCTGTCCTCAGGGTGGGCATCAGGCTTTGCCCTTGGCCTTGGGTTGTGAAAAGTAACCCACTCTCCCCTCCACTCCCCTTAGGGAGGGGGCTCTGGAGAAAAGGGGCGTTGGGGAAGCCCCCGGAATGGGGCGTCTGCTCAGACTCCGGGCTGCACTTTCCCAGCCTGGGCATTTTGGGGTGCTGCCAGGGGAGGGCGCCTCGGCGGCCTCAGGCCCCCAGGTAGACCTCCACCAGCCCCCCCACGGAGTGCATGCGGTAGAAGACGCCCAGCGGCAGGCCGAAGTTGACGATGGTGAACCACACCCGGTAGCCGTAGAAGTCCTTCTCCAGGCCGTTCTCGAACTCGGGGTGTATGCCGAAGGCGGGCATCATCCACAGCTGGGGAGGGCGGGGGCACTCGCTCAGGGAGGCAGGCCCGGAGCCACGGCTCCGGCAGCAGTCCTCGCCCGCGGCCTTCGGAGCCAGCCCCGCCCTCCCGTCCCTCTCACCCAGGCCTCAGCGGAGCTCCGGCCGGCCCTGAGCCCCCCGCGCCACCGCCCGTGGAACAGCCTGCTCTGCCAAGCTGGGTACCCCTGGGCCTTGATCTCAACCACCTTCTTCTGCTTCCTCCTTCAGCTGGCCTCTGCCCCTCCACCCTGGCTCTGCCTCCGTCCAAACCCTACCCGTTTCTCAAAGCCCAGCTCACACTTCCATGAGGCCTCCTTGGCCGCTCGGGCCCACACTTCCTGCCTGGAGGCCCGGCTGCTCTTGTTATCTGCCCGGACCAGGGGTTTCGACCCCGGAGGGTGTTTCCACGCCCCTGAGTGGCCCAGCATTGCCACGTGGGTGGCGGGACCTCGGCAGGGCCGACGACCCGAGCCTCAGTGTCCTCGTCTGTGAACCGGGACAGCAGTAGCGCCTGCCGCATGGTTACCGTGACGACCCACGAGATGCAGAGCCTTTATAGGAAGGAGCGACCATCCTCAGCATCTACCAGGAGCTCTTTCTGACCCCTTTCCTTGGACTTCCTTATTCGGCAGTTCCCTAATTGTTCCCCCGGCGTCTCCCCAACTGGGCGGGAGCTTCCTGAGGGGAGACACCTCACACCGCTGTTTGTGAAGTGCCCTCGGCTGGGCCATGGCACGCTCCTTCGTGCCAGGTCCCCCGCAGGGAGCCGGGGGCCGCTCTCTGCTCTCGCGTGTCCTAGAGCTGGTTGGGAAGAGGCCTGTGTCCCTGACAATCCAAGGGACAAGCCCGTCACCCTTGGGACGGTCCATGTGCGCTGAGGGCGCCTTGAACCATCCCTTCCTGAATGAGGCTCTCTGGGCCAGCTCCGCCCCTACGCCTCTGTTGGGGGGGGGGGGCGAGGGGAGAACCACTCACTGTGATGTTGCAGAGGATGAGGAAGAGCGAGATCTCCTTGAGCGCCCGCCGCTTCCAGTTGAGGCGGCTGTAGGAGTGGATGTAGGCCCGGGAGGCCCGTCGCAGGTCCTGGCCCAGCTCCAGCAGGGAGCCCCTGCGGGGGGGCTCGGCCTCGGGCTTCTCGGCGGCGGCGGCGGCGGCCCCGGGCGCGGCCTCCCAGAGCGGGCGCCGGTGCAGGCCCTCGATGATGAAGAGGTTCTGGGCGATGTGCTGCAGGATGAGCAGCACCGCGTAGGCCAGGACGAGGCGGTTGAGCAGCTCGTGGGGGCGCGTGGCCACGATGGCCACGATGGAGAAGTAGCAGATGCCCATCTGGCCCAGGGCCGCGCCCATGAGCAGCACCACGTCCACGCTGCGCGTGGGGTTCTTGAGCGTGTCCAGCTCCCGCTCCTCCAGCCCGTGGATGGCGGTGCCCGCCAGGCAGGCCAGGCTCATGCCGGGCAGCACGGCCGCGTAGAAGGCGTAGTAGAGGGTGAAGTACTGGCGCGCGATGGCGGGGCCGCTCGCCTCGATCTGGAAGAGCACGAACACGCACACGCCCGCCACCAGGGCCAGCAGGCCCAGCAGCGGCCCGAAGATGGCGCCGTGCAGGCGGAAGGCCGGGGCGCCCCGGGGGGCGCTCGCGTGGGCGTGGGGGGCCAGGCGGCGGCCCACGTTCTTCCACATGACGAAGAGCACCGCGCAGCAGACCAGGCAGTACTCGGTGCTGAACGGGTAGAGCATCAGGTAGCCCTTCCGGAAAACCTCGCACACCGTGGCGTTGAGGCACAGGCAGGTGTTGGTGTCGTTGCCTGCGAGAGAGAGAGAGAGAGAGAGAGAGAGAGAGAGAGAGAGAGAGAGAGAGAGAGAGAGATGGCGGGATGGAAGGAGAGAGGGAGGAAAAGAGGGAGCGAGGGAGGGACATGGAGGGAGGGAGGGGGCAGGTGGGCCTGGCTCGGAGGAATCCAGCTGCACAAATCAGTCCCTTTCAGCCCCCAGAGCCGTGGTCAGCAAACCGCGGCTCGCGAGCCACATGCGGCTCTTTGGCCCCTTGAGTGTGGCTCTTCCACAAAATACCACGGCCTGGACCCGTCTAAGTTGAAGAAGCGGCGTTAGAAGTTGACGTTTAAAATATGCGGCTCTCCAAAGAAATGTCAGTCGTTGTCCTGTTGCTATTTGGCTCTGTGGGCTAGTGAGTTTGCCGACCACTGGCCAAGAGTAAGCCAGGGGTGGAAGGTGTGGACCCTGAGACCCAGGGAGCGGACTCAGAAAGCACACGTTGCAGGAAGGCCGTTCCTTTACCGAAGGTTTCCGGCTTCCTGTGCCGAGCTTACGCAAAGCAGGGGATGCCTGGGGGGTGGACAGATCTTGTTCTGCTCATCTCCATGTTTGAATTTTTAGTAAGAAACAGTCTCGGGTGGTACTTGCAGAAAATTCTCTCTGCACAGCCCCTCTGAGAAACATATGCAGGGGGGAGAGTGAGCACAGTGCTGACTGGGGTGGCAGGTGTGTGAATGCTCGCGTGTGTGTGTGTGTGTGCGTGTGTGTGTGTGTGTGTGTGTGTGTGTGCAGGGGAGGCCTGGCTGTCCCCAGGGCAGGACGGCATGGTCTCTCCGTACCTGAGAACTTCTCCATGAGGGCGCTGAGCTCCGCCTCGATCTCGCGGTGCAGGGAGTCGTTGGTGACGGCCAGGACCCACATGAGCAGGTTTGTGGCCAGAGTCAGCATCAGGCCGCACCTGGGGGAGAAGCCACACGCTGCCCACACCGCTGGCCGGCTCCGGGTGCCCCGCCCTCACCGCCACTGCATCTCCCCAGCCAGATCCCGTCTGCTCTGGGGCTCAGCAGAGGCAGCCCTGGCGGGCACCTGGGGCCATGCCCAGACCGGCCGGCAGCCCGGGTCGCCCCGTCCCGTCGGGGAAGCTGCGGGGAGCATGCACTTGTTGGGGACAGGGAGCCCCCGGAGTTGCTGGAGGGAGAGAAGGCGCCCCTCTTACCTTGTGAAGTTGGTCTGCACCTGAATACAGTCCTTACAGTGTTTCCAGAGGACCCAGGTCTGAAAGAGACAGGCAGGGCCTTGAGCCCAGCGGCAGGGGGTGCAGGGACAGTGTGCCTGTGGCCTGTGCAGGGACAGGGCCCCCGTGGCCCGGGCAGGGACAGTGCCTGTGGCCCGGGCAGGGACAGTGCCTGTGGCCCGGGCAGGGACAGTGCCTGTGGCCCGGGCAGGGACAGTGCCTGTGGCCCGGGCAGGGGCAGTGCCCGTGGCCCGGGCAGGGACAGTGCCCCCGTGGCCCGGGCAGGGACAGTGCCTGTGGCCCGGGCAGGGACAGTGCCCGTGGCCCGGGCAGGGGCAGTGCCCGTGGCCCGGGCAGGGACAGTGCCCCCGTGGCCTGGGCAGGGACAGTGCCCGTGGCCCGGGCAGGGGCAGTGCCCCCGTGGCCCGGGCAGGGACAGTGCCTGTGGCCCGGGCAGGGACAGTGCCCGTGGCCCGGGCAGGGGCAGTGCCCGTGGCCCGGGCAGGGACAGTGCCTGTGGCCCGGGCAGGGACAGTGCCCGTGGCCCGGGCAGGGACAGTGCCCCTGTGGCCCGGACAGGGACAGTGCCCGTGGCCCGGGCAGGGACAGTGCCCCCGTGGCCCGGGCAGGGACAGTGCCCCCGTGGCCCGGGCAGGGACAGTGCCCCCGTGGCCCAGGCAGGGACAATGCCCCCGTGGCCCGGGCAGGGACAATGCCCCCGTGGCCCGGGCAGGGACAGTGCCCGTGGCCGGGGCAGCCTCACCTGCAGGCCGGTGAAGACGATGTCCAGGGCGGGGAAGAGGAGCTCCAGCTGGGACTTGCAGTGGATGTGGCTCACGTCGTAGCCCACGCGGAAGACATTAAGGCAGACGGTGCAGCTGCCAAAGAGCAGCAGGGAGCCTGGCTGGGCCAGCGGCCATTGGCGCCTCCCTGGGACGCTCCGCGCCCTCCCCCCATCCACCCGGCGCCCCCATACTCACCCCGCACCCACACGGGCCCCGCGTGGGGGTCCCGGTAGAGCACGGCGTGCGGCCGGCGGGCAGTGCCCGCCACGTAGCAGAGGAGCCAGAGCAGGGCGAGCGCCTTGAGCACGGCCAGCAGGATCCACACGTCGCCCAGCGTGACGGCCATGTTGTTGAAGATCATGCTGCAGATGAAGGCGCCGCCCAGGAAGGCCACGTTGAGGGCCAGCAGCCCCGAGAAGAGCTGGCCGGCCTTCTGCGCCTGCCGGTCCCGCCGCAGCAGCAGCGAGAAGTGCCGCACCAGCCAGGACTTCCGGCGCCGCGATGCGGGCGCCCCTGTCTCCTCCGCCTCCATGTCCACCAGGCTCTCCCTGGCCGGGGCCGCTTCGGGGTCCTGTGCTCCCGTGGCGGCCGCCGCAGGGGCAGCCTCAGCAGGTGCTGGGGGAGGAGAAAGGGTCCTGGTTGGCTGCCGGGCTGTCCTGGGCTCAGGTCCATCTCTGCCCCTGACTACTGTGTGCTGTGAGGCAAATTAAGCAACCTCTCTGGTCAGCAACCATCTACCTTACAGGACCCTGGCGGTCCCAACAGACCAGGGGCTCTCTGAGCTCTACATTGACGCAGACCATTCCCACGGGCTTGAGGGATATCCCCCCACCCCCACCCCCAGCGCCTGACCTGAGATGGAGAATAATGTCTGTCTAGGAGCCAGGGGCACCTGCATGGCGCCTGGCCCCCAGGCAGTCTCCAGGGCTGCGATGCTTTGCCATCAAAAGGCAGCTCGTGCCCCACTGGCTTCTGGGAGGAAGTTCACTCCCGAGTGAGAGAGCGAGTAGGTGTCCTCTCTGGCTCGGACTGATTCACGGGAAACGGGCACCCAGAGTGTTGTGTTGAGAGGGCTCTTGGGGCCGAGTGTGGGCTTGGTGGGAAAGAGCGCTGTGGCTGGAAATAGTACCCTAGTATGGATACGAAATCCGTGCACAGTTAGGGGCCCTAGCGGCTGCCGGTCAGGGCCTCCTTTTGTTCCCTGGTGTTCAGCGCACATCATAGCCTGTGATCAAACTCCCAGTGGGTCGAACTCCCAAGGGGACTTAGCTTTGCATATTAGGCTTTTATATATATAGATGTGAGTGTATATGAAATGATGGCCTCTCCACCCCCATGTTTTTCAGTAGAGAAATGGGCATGCTCCTTGCTTCTCCCCTCACCAGTCCTCCTCTCAGGCCCCAAGCCTATTCATTCCAGCCCACGAATTGCTCTTAGATCTTTCTTGACTCGACCACTGCTCTGCGCCAGGCCCCCACCCTTGATCCCGAACTGGTCTTTCTGTCCACCGGGCCTCTCCCCCACTGTGAGCCCTGCAAAGCCACGTGTTGCCTTCGCAGACAGTCCACACTGCCTAGCGTGCCCTCTCACAATGAAACGAGGCAGAGTGTGTGCGGTGTGAGCTCCTAGCGCAGAGAGCTCGAGGCAGGTAGCTGCTGCCATTTCCCAGCCTGGCCTTGACTTCCATCTCCAGCACTGCCCTCGGACTCACTGGCCCATGGGCTGTGCCATCCTGCTGCTGTTCCCAGAATGCCCTGCCTTTGCTCACCTCCCTGACTGCCCACACCCCACCCTAGGCTCATAATGCCCCCTTCTTGCTTTGTAGCTGCCTGCAGCTGCCCTTCAGGACTCAAAAGAGCCACAACTCCTGTAAGTGGCCTCCCCTGACCCCCCTCCCCCGCAGCACTGGCTTAGGTGCCCACTCTTGGCGCCCCCACCGAGCCCCAGGCTTGTTTCTGGAGCCTCGCCTCTCACACTCCATGTAATTGGTTGTACTTTGCTCTGTCTGCCCCTTTGAACCTGGAGCTTCAGAAGCTTCAGGTTTCCCCACTCTGACCACCAGAGCACCCTCACCTCATTTGGCTCTAAAGCGCCCCCATTCCCCCCTGCACAACCTGCTTGGTATCTATCCCTCTGCTCCTCTCTTCTGGGGCAAATAGAACAACCAAACGTGGGTAGCGGTTGAGGTCAAGAAAGATCTGAGAGCAATCTTAAAGGTTCTACAGGATTTTCTCCCCCTTCCCCAGTCCTTCCGGTCACCCTCGCTCCGCTTCTGCCCTCTCCCTGTCCTGCCCCCCCCCCGTCACACTCCCCACACCTGCCCCCCACGTCCCTCCATCCAGAGGGATCCGCATTTGTCATGTGGTCTCCTGCCTCCCACCATTGCTCCTGAAGCCCCTGTGCTTCCTGCCTCCCCTGCTTCCCTCCACGTGGCTCTCACCATCCTCACCACCCACCTCAAGGCCTCTCCTGGGAAGCTTCTCTCTCTGCCCAGGAGTGGGTGTGCATTGCTGTGGGTGTGGCTGGCTCCCCTCAAGGCCGGGACCTCCTCCAGGGCAGAGACCAGCCCCTTCTTAAGCCAGAACCCCCCCCCCAAACTCGGCACAGCATGGCATTTAACCAGTGTTTGGTGACGACTCTGGCATTTTGGGGGAAACTTTCAGCACCAGAGCCATGGACAGAGACCATTCCCATGAAGTCTTTCCCGTCTTCGCCCCGACAAAGAGATTTTTCAGACGATCTTTATCTTCCCTCCGAGTCTCCTCCGCCCAGGTTGAGCAAGCCGGAGTCCTGGGGACACACCTCACTGCTCCTTTCTCCCAGGCCTGACTGCTCCATCTCACCTTTCCCAGAGTCTCCCCCATCTTCCCCGAGGCCTGAGGATGGAGAGCCCCGATTCTGACACCTCCTACCTGTGTGATCTCAGATAAACTACTTAGAGTCCCTGTGCCTTGGTTTCCCCATCTGTAAAGCAGATATGCAACTATGGCATATGCCTCGTGTTTAGTAGCTGTTCAGTGACAATTTCTTGAATGAATAAATGAAGGAATTAATGCATACTGCCTAGGCCACAGGGGTTCATAACAATTAGAGGATTTAATTTATGCAAATGAGTGCAGATCAGTGTCTGGCACACAGAAAGCTCTCAGTGTTAGCGAGGCGAGCATTTTCTTCCAGTTCCTTTGAAACCCTGGGGCGGCTGGAAGGGTCGGGGTTACTGGTGGGTTTCAGCGGACCGCAAGCATAGAGGGGACCCGGGATTGGGGGTGGGGTTGGGGACTGAAAGGGGCCCTCTTGGGGACAAGATTGGGGGCCCTCTCCTTCCAGGGTCCTCAACCTACGTCCTAGCCCTCCGCCCGCAGGGTGCAACCCTCCGCCGGCCGCTAGAGGGAGCCCTCCAAGCGGCGGGTTCCGTCCGCCCCCGGAGAGGGTGCGGGTGCCGGGTCCGCGCAGAGGGGTCGTGGGAAGAGGGCAAGGGCGCCCGGAACCGACCGGGAGGAACACGCCACCCGCTGGCACGCCCTTCGGCGCGCCGCCAGCCCCAGGGCGGGCCCGCGTGACTGGTTTGTGGGCTCGGTCGGGGCAGGTGATGAAAGCGGCGGCCGTCGGGGCGCGGCGCCCGGCCTGGAGCGCGGCGCCCGCTCCGGGGAGGCCGCTGCGCGCGGCCGGAGCTGCGGGATCTCTGCTCGAGCCTTTCGGGGGGCGGGGGGCTGGACCCGCTCCTCAGACCCGGCGCCCAGGCAGCCCCAAACCCCGCACCCTTTTTCTGGCCGTCCTTCGGGTTTCCGCTTCTTCCTGCTCCCCTTTCGGCTGCGCGCACCGCGGAGAGGAGGTGGGGAGCCGGGATTGGGGTTGGGGTTGGGGACTGAGAGGGGCCGGCGCTCCAGTGGGTGCCTCGCCCCCAGTCACCCTGCCCTCCCGCCCAGTCCCTGCAGCCCAGGTGTCTGAACCCCGGGGCGGGGGCGCAGAGGAGGAGGTTGGAGTCTGCGGGGGGGGCAGGGGGCTCGCCCCCAAGTCCCGCAGGACATCCAGGGGCGCCGCCAGGCGGAGGCCTTACCTGAGGCCTGGGCAGCCATCGCTGCCGCTGACCGCCGCCCGGGCCGCCGCACCGACAGTCCTTCCCGGCGAGGCCCCGGCGCCCGCGCGGACAGACGCCCCCGACGCCCTCCCCAGGGGACTGCGCAGCCGCGGCGCGGGCTTCCCGGCCCATCGATTTTCCTGTTGACTTTGGGGCTGTCATTAATCCTCCCTTAATTACCCGCCAGGGGCCCGGGCCCGCGCGGCAGCCAATGGCGAGGCGGCCGGACGGGCGGGCGGGGCGGAGGCAGGGCGGCGCCGGGCGCAGGGTCAGGGGACCCGCCGGCCACCGCCCCCTCTCTCCCAAGTCAGCGGGAACTTGGGGCGAAGAGACCCCATTCGGACAGGGCAGGAGGCGGGTAGGGTGAGAAGCTGCTCCTCCAGCCCTCTTCACGTCTGCGGTGGCTCCTGAGACGTGTCCCCCTCGTTCTGCTGGCGGGCATTTCCTCTGGACCCCCCCCCCCCAGTCCTGCTGGTCCCAGATCTCCTTCCACCCAGCCCCACCCTCGCCTGTGGCCCCCTGCTCCCGGCTCAGCTGGCCGCCATCCTCCCCCTCCTCCAGCTCCTGAGCCTCTTTCCCTCCGTTTGCGGTCTCAGCCCCTCTCCCTGCTGAGCCCGTCTCTCTACCTTTTGTAGAGGAGTCTCAGGGCCCCCCGGGGGTGGGGGTGCTGAGGGAGAGGAGGCCGAGGGGGTGAAGGTGTGTATCCCCAACTCCTGTTAAACTAGAGCAGCCCTACCCATCCCATGTGAGAAATGTAGTTCCTGAGATAGTTCTGCGGTGTGAGAATTGCCATTCTTCTAACAGGCTCTGGCCCCCTAGCTGTGTGACGTGGGCCAGCCCCATGGCCTCTCTGGGCCTTAGGCTCCTTCTTTGTAAAACGGCGGTGGGCTGGGTCCACATTCCTAACCTTTCCTGTGTTGGGGGACACGTGGAAAACGTGTTCCCTTGAGGGTACAGGGAAGGAGGGGGCAGCTCGGGGACTCTGTCCAGCCTCCCAGGTCTGCAACTCAGACTCGGTTCAACCACTGAGAAGCTGAAGGCCTGAAAATCTCCAGGGGCCCTTCCAGCTCGGACCCCCAAGACCCTCTCCTGTGATCATGCCACATGGGGAGGCTGACATAGGAAGTGGGGGGCAGGGGGCGAACTGCAGGTTTATTGGTTGCCAGCACTGCCGGCCAGCGCACCGGGCCGGTCACAGGGCTGGGATTAGGGGCGGGGCTGGAGCCACGGACACTTCCCGATCTTGCCCAGTTCTAGAAACGCTTCAGGGAGAGGTGTCCCAGCCCCGGGGCCCCATGCACCAGGGTCACGCGGGGGTGGCTGGGCGTGTCCTGATTGCAATTTAAAAACATCCTGAAAAAATAGCTTTTGTGAAAACCCCGCTCAGGGGCCAGCTGGGGAACGGAGCGGCGATGTGCCCGCCTGGGGCTCACTCCCAGGGTCTCGGGGGGCACCTGCGGAGTCCCCGCCCCGTGCCTGGGCCTCAGGCCAGCACGTACACCTCCAGCAGGCTGGAGACCGCGTGCATGCGGTAGAAGATGCCGAAGGGCAGGCAGATGTTGACGATGGCGGCCCAGAGGGAGTAGCCGTAGAAGTCCACCTCCACCTTGTTGCTGAAGTGGGGGCGGGCCCCGAAGGCCGGCATAATCCACAGCTGCGGGGAGAGGGGGAGTCAGGACCCGGCCCCACTGGCCACATCCGTGGGCTTTGCTGGGGGCCCCAGCCCTGCATTTGGGGGGACGGCAGCGCTGGGTGTTGCTGAGTGGGGACCTCCCTCTTGGGGAAGGACTGATGCTCTCTAAGGAGTTCAGGGAATGTGCCCCACTCAGCGTGCCCACCCCATAGGACGCCCCCTGTGGTCACAGCTGGGGTGGGGGGGAGCCCCGCTTGTGGGGCGGAGAGGGAGAAGAGGTCTCAGAGGATGGAGAGCTTGATGCGCGTTTAGAAATGGCTAAGTCAGAGCTGGAGAGATGTGTGGCCAACCAGGCCCAAGGCAGGCGGGGCGGGATCCAGCCGGAAGGTGCTGGTGTGGGCTCCGAGGCCAACAGCAAAGGCTTCTGGGCTAGCCGCACCCTCCCCATCCTCAGGGAGCTGTGTCATTGGCACATCGCGCCCTTCTCTCCGCCTGTTTCTGTCCCATAACACGAAGCTCTCGGAGCTGATCCAGGCTCAGATACCTGGAGCGAAACAGCCTTCCCACAGGTGACTCCCAGCCAGGGGGCGGGGCCAGGGCTGGGGGCGGGGCCAGGGCTGGGGAGGGTGGGGCCAGGGCGGGGCCCGGCTCAGGATACTTTCCCCGGGGGTGGGAGATGGCCCATCCCTCTTTTTCTAGGGACTGCCTCTAGGACGGGCCCTACAGACGGTGGGGACTTCGCTAAGAACGCACCTCAGTTAGGATGGGTGGTTGTTCTCTTTTCTTTTAAATGTTATCCCTCTTCTCCTGTTGGTGTTTCTCATGGGGTGGGATCTCTCTGGAGATGCTTTACCTTGACACACCCACTCAGGGCTGTTTCTCTATATGAGTGTTTTTTCTATTGCAGGAGGCAGCTGGAAGAGCTATATTCGTATCGAGTGAAATTCCTCTGGAGGAGTGTCTCTCCCTGGGATGCACTCACATGGCACATGTCTCTGTGTCAGAGACTTCCCCTGGGGACTAGGTCTGACCCGTGGGGTGGTAGCTACTTGAGGGGTGCTCCTCTATTGGGGTGCACGGTTGTGAGGGGAGTTCCCATGCACGGCGCCTATTTGTGTGGGTGGAGGCTGCTGGGCTCCAGAGGAGTTGCCCTCAGTCGGGGCTTTGCTGAATCACAGAGCTCGCACTCACACCGCTGCCTGCGCTGCCCGGTTATTCTCAGCAGCCGGCTGTCACAGGTTCCCGGGGGCAGTCACACCTCCCGCTGAGGGTGAGGGCCCCCACTCCCCGCATTAGCTCCCACAGCTCCCTCTCCTCTCGCCCCCCCCCTTAACCCTCCCCCAGCGTTCCCTGGGCTGCTTCCGGCTCCTGTGGTGGCTGCCTGGATGCCAGGATGCCAGGACTTCGCCCTCTGGGTGCCGAGATGCTGTTGCCCGGCTGCACCTGACCCTCTCAAAACCTACTCCTTCCCTAGACAGACCCGGATTCTGCAGTGGGCGGGGCCAAGACGGAGAAGGCCACGTGACTAACCCTGAAAGAACCTCCTTCCTGGCCTCCCCCCCATGCCCAGCCCCCATGCCTCCCCCCACTACTCACGATGACGTTGCCGAGCAGAAGAAACAGGGAAATGTCCTTCAGGCACCGGCGTCTCCAGTGGGCCCTGGGGGCTGGGATGGTGGCCGTGGCTTCCTGAGGGCCCTCCAGGCTGGGGCCCACTGGGCCGGGGGTGGGCGGGCAGGCTGGCAGTGCGTGGAGGGCGTCCGGGTTGGCGAAGGTCAGGCAGGGCTCTTTGGGCGGGGCGTCGGGGGGCTCGGCCCCCGGCGGGCCCCGGTGGAGGCTCTCGATGATGAACACGTTCTGGAAGGTGTGCTGGGCGATCACCAGCAGGGAGTGGGCCAGGCTGAGCGCCCCCAGGGTGTCCCGGGGCACGCCCACCACCACGGCCACGATGGAGTAGTAGGAGATGGCGTACTGGCCCAGGGCGGCGCCCATCAGCAGCGCCACGTCCAGGGTGCGCGTGGGGTTCTTGTGGTGGTCCATGGCCCGGCGGTCAAAGCGGTAGATGACGGAGCCGCTCAGGCTGACCAGGGTCATGAGCCCCAGGCAGGCGATGTTGAAGCCGTAGTAGGTGACCAGGGCCTGCTGGGTGTGGCCCCCGTCCCCGCTCACCTGGACCTCATAGACCACGAAGACGGCCAGCCCCACCAGGAGGAGCGTCAGGCCCAGCACCGGGCCCACGAAGAACGTCTCCCGGAAGAGGCTGAGCCGGGATGCGGCGTGGCCGTGGCCGTGGCCGTGGCCGTGGCCTGAGCCCAGCAGCCTGCCCACGTTCTTCCACATGACGTAGAGCATGGTGGAGGCGAAGAGGCTGTACTCGATGTTGAAGGGGTACAGGTAGAAGTAGCCCTGCTCGAAGATCCGGCACACGGTCGTGGCACAGGCGCAGTCTCCTCCGGCCTGGCTGCCCGCGCGCTCCGCTGTGGGGAGAGGGGCCCGGAGCTGTACCGCCCAGAAAGCCAGCTGCTGGGCTTAGGTCTGGCCCTGACCCCGTCACCTGGGCTGCGCCACACTAAAAGGACCCTGTCCTGATCCCAGACCGTGCTTTGTAGGGTGCCTGGGGCCTTGGCAAACATCACTTTCGACCCTAGCATGGAGCCAGCTGGTTTTGCAGATGGAGAAACTGAGGGTCCCGGAGGTAAAGTGTCTTGTGATGGCAGAGCCCGGGGTAGGTACCTCTCCAGCGGGCCTCTCTGCACCCCGCAGCCCCAGCACGTTCCACTGGCTGCCTCCCCAGGCTGGCTTTTGCCACCCTGGGACCCCCCCCCCATATGTAAAAGGTGGCCCTTTGTCAGTCCTGCTGGGCTGGGCTTGGGGCGGGAGTGGGGGGCAGGGGAGCGGGGCTGGGCCCACACATTCCCTTCCTGGACTCTCCCAGCCTGGGGGTGTGCTGTGTCTTCAGGTCAAGTCCAGATGGATTTAGTCATCTAGTCTGGTCCTGACGAGCAGGGTGTGTGTGTGTGTGTGTGTGTGTGTGGCTTAGAGAAGCAGGACCAGAGGGACGGCACCCCATTCTTCCTCGGATAGCATTTTGGTTAAAAGCAAAGATAGACCTGAACACTGGCTGCCCGATTTCAAGCTCTGTGGCTTTGGACAAGCTATCTGCCCTCGTATAGTTCTTCACCTGGGAAGTGGGATGCTAATATTCCCGTCTCGCAGGGAGGCGTGAGGGCTGAGGAACATGGAGGCTAACACACTGGGCACGGTGCCCGCACGCAGAGCCCCGTGATGGCCACCATCGTGGCTGTTCTTTCTGGCGTCTCCTTGCGGGCTCTCGGTCTGATCCCCCGCTTCCGCCATCAAGAACGCCTGCTCCCGGGGCTGGTGCGGCCAGGCCCGGAGCATCGGCTGCCAGGCTGGGAGCGGCCAGGCCCCGGGGAGCAGGCGGGTCGGGTGCGGCCAGGCCCGGAGCAGCGGCTGCCAGGCTGGGAGCGGCCAGGCCCGGAGCAGCAGCAGCCAAGTCCAGAGCAACTAGGTCGGGAGCGGCAGTGACCAGACCCGGAGCAGCTGGTTGTGGAATGAACCAGAGCAACAGAGGCCAGGCCCTGAGCAGCCAGGCCCAGAACAGCTCGCTCCTTGCCTGCCCCTGCCCCACGGCTCCTTCTCAGACATGGCTGGAAACTTTCGTGGGAACTTGAGTGTCTGCTGAATCAAGTGATGAAGGCTTAGATCTGGATGTGTTGAGTTAGTTTAGGACTGGGGTGTTGATCTGTGAGTGCCTTGGGTGGGGCCTCGATGAGGCTGGTTGACCTAGTGGGAAATGTCTTTTGTGTGAAGTGTATCATTGGGCATGTGGAGGTATTATTGATATGAGAAAATGCTAAGTAACTGATTTACTATCTGAAAAGGGATTTACTATTGGGGAAATTGAGGGAAGAAGAGACTGAACATAAACTGTGCACCTATGGATGAGGACAATGGGGGATGGGGGGGGACGGAGGGTGGGGTGGGAACCTGGTGGAGGGGGGAAGAAATGAGGAACCTTTGTAATAATATGAACAATAAAGATTGCTAAAAAAAAAAAAAAAAAAAAAAAAAGAACGCCTGCTCCCTCCCCCGCCCTCCAGTTCCATCGGCTTTGCCCTGTCTTCCTGTCTTCCGGGAGCCCAAGCTGCTTCTTTAGTGGAATGGGGACCTGGGCAGAGGGACCAAGGCTGTGTTCTCCAGGAGGACAAGGTGCCCCCACGCTGGGCCCTCCCGTGTCACCTGCGCCCACAGGTCAGCGTGAGAGCCAGAGCCCGGAGCAGGAGGGGGCACTCTACAAGCCAACGAAGCCCCAGCCCGAGGCCCAGGGTCACGGGTCAGGGGCACCTGGCGTGGCACTCACGGTCAGGAGCCAGGCGGGCGTGGCTGGTGTTGCTGTGGGAGCCGGCCTGGTGCACGGACTCATCCACCACGGCCGCCATCCAGATGGCCAGGTTGGTGCTGAGGGTGAACATGAGTCCACACCTGTTTGGGGGCGAGAGCCAGAGGCCAGTGACACCCTTGGCTCGTCTTGGGTCGCTGGCAAGATGGAGAGAGGGTCGGGAGCTACAGAGGCAGGTGGTGCTGAGACACAAGGAAGCAGCCAGGCCCCCCGTGCGAACAGGAAGCTGAGTTTGGAAGAAACAGCCTGGCGGGATGCAGGGATGCAGGGATGCAGGGATGCGGGGGTGGGGGGTGGGGGTGGAGGCACCCAGGGGCTCAGGCCACCCTGCTCCCTCTCCTGGGGAAAAGGACGTTTAGTGCATTGCACAGCCCATCCCGCCAAAGCCATGCAGGCGTACACACGCGCACACACACACTCACACACACGCACACACACACGCACACACACGCACGCACACACGCATGCACACGCACGCACACATGTATGCACACACACACGTGCACACGCACACCACTGCACGGGGGATGGAAATGGGAATCAGGCTGCATAAGGGACAGAGAGAGGCCCCAGGCCCAGGTTGGCAGCCCTCATCTCTCATGCAAGGTGAGCGCCGGCATGCATGCAGGGCCAGGAGCGGGGGCAGGCCCTCACCGGGTCAGGTCCAGGTGGACGTGAACACAGTCCTTCGCCGAGACCCAGAGGAAGTAAGTCTGCGGGAGAGAGAGTGGTGCGGTCACTACTCTGCAGAGCAAACACAGCTGAACTCAAGTGCCCACGCCCATGCCCAGCAAATTCTTGCTGCCTCTAAAGCCCTCACACCGAGTTATTGAGTTTATTTTAGCTCCCCCAAATGCGGCCAGGAACAATTCACATAAAACAGTGCCCTGTTCTTTAGTAGTTTGTAAAATGTCACCCGTGAGACCTTCTGGTCCTCGTGTTTGTTTTTTGCAGGGTCGCGGCCCGGCAGAGTTTGAGTGTCTGGTTATTTATTCCCGGGAGCAAGGCCAGCCTCAGGCTAGGTCTCGTCCGGGGTGGAAAGACTCTTGGTGATGTCTCACTGGCTTTGGCAACACCCCCTCCCCACCTTCATCCTTGGTTGCCCTGCGAGGCCTCGCCCTCCTCTGGCTGCCAACCAGTCCTTGCCCTGGTGGGGTGTCTGTGTTTCCCTTTCATCCCCAGTCTTCTTCAAACCCACAACATGTGAAAGACTGAAGCGACATGAATGTCAGTCAGAAGCTGTGGACAGCTGTGTTGGGCTGTGGACAGCTGGCCCAGGGGAGGAACCATACCCGGGGTCCTCCTGGTCTGACAGGGCTGGGTCCGTCTGGTCCCGGGAAAGGCCAGTCCTGCCTCAGCTTGGTAGGAAGATCTTTCAAAGTGTTATAGGTGTGATGAAGAAAATAATATATCTGAACATCTAGGAAAACCCCCAGGCACAGCATATGCTGTCTCCTGAACAAAGACACACTTTAGGGGTCTGTGCTGAGGCCAACCTGGCCATGCTCGGAGCGGGACGACCTGGGCAGAGACTGATGCCCTCCATGGGCACCCAGGGAGGGCAGGCTAGGTTCTGGGAGACAGGGTGGCTGCCACACTCACTCACACCTCCCCGGTGTGTGAACTGGTAGCGCTGCTCAGGGCCCCGGAGTGGGCCTCACATTTGGGTATTACTTCATTGTCGAGTGCTACCAAGCGCCTCATGATCTCCCAGTCCAGCCCCCACACTGTCTGGCTGCTCAGGGTAGACTAAGAGTGGAGATCAGCTCTCCTGACCACCGCATTCGAGGACCCTCCCCCCACCCACCTACCTGGACGATGACAAACACAGCCTGGGTGAGAGGGTACAGAATCTTGATGGCCGACTGGCACTCGAAGAAACTGGAGTAGTAGCCCGTCTTGAAGACGTCCATGACCAGGGTGCAGACCCCAAACAGCACCAGCCCGCCTGGAGATGGGGGGAGGAGGGGTGGATCAGAGAGGCGGGAGAGGAGGCTTATGGATCTGAGGAGAGGTGACTAGATGAATGGCTGGTTGGCTGGCTGGGTAGATGGATGAGTGAATGGGTGTAGAGGTGAAGGGATGCACTGAAAGGTGAGGTGTGGATGGAAGGATGAGGGTATGATTGAGTGGGTGGATGGATGGATGGATGTCCCATTAAGTGCCCCTCTCTTTAGAGCTAAGTAGACAGGGAGAAGGGCCCTCCATGGACTCCTCTGGCTGCGGCTGTCACCTCTTCTCATCCCCACCAGAGGTCTCCCAGGACTCCCCTTAATTGATCTTTAGACTCACCCCCTCGGGGACCCTCTCCCTGCCTCTTCTCCCTCCCCCGCAGCCCACCCGCCCTCAGACACCTAGTCTTTCCAGGGGAGGGAACATCTAACCCTCTCCCTCCACCCCCCCCCCCAATCCCTCGGGGAGCCCCAGCTTCCAGCCCCTGCCTGGCCCGCCCCGCACCTCGCAGCCAGATGGGGCCGGCGTGCGCGTCGCGGTGGGGCACGGCGCCGGGGCGGCGCGCGGTGCGGAGCAGGTAGAAGGCGGTCCAGAGCGCGGCCAGCAGCATCATGGTGGTGAGCAGCGCGAACACGTCGGTGTCGTACACAGCCACCTTGTTGAAGGCGCCGCCGCTGACCAGCGTGCAGGCGAGCAGCAGCACGTTCACCGCCAGCAGCACGGACAGCAGGCGGCCGCCCTTCTTCCACACCTCGCGGGGGGCCCGCGGCCGCTCCTCGGGGCGCGCGGCCGGCTCCTCGGACATGGCGGGGGCGGCGGCGGGGTCACTGCGGGGAGGAGCGGACAGGCCCCCAGGTTCGTTCCCCCCAGCGTCTCCCTGGATTCGGGACCGGGACTTCCTGGCTCGGAGGGGATTGGGGGGGTGGGGGGTGGGGGGGTGGAGGGGGCGCAGAAATGGAGGACGCGCCGGGAACGGGGAAGAGCCAAGGCGGAGACTGCGGGTCTCGAGCGGGGGCAGCCCCGTTAGACCCCGTCCAGGTCCCCGCTCCCCAAACCCGCGCGCCCCCGGCCCGACACCCACCTGGCTGCGCCGGGAGCCCGCGCGGAGCTGGGGGTCGGAGGGTGGCGGGCGGCGCCTCTCCGCCGCGCCGGGCTGGGCGCGCGCTTTATAGCGGGGCAGGCGGGGTGGTGAGTTGCGGGGTGATTTACGGCGTCCGGAGCGCCCCTCCATAAACCTCTCCGTCCTGCTCACACGATCCATCTTCCCTCCGCGCTGCATTTGGGGAAGAGCGCAGGAGCCAGATAAGGGGAGATTTATAGTTATCCGGGAAGAGGCGCCCCACCCCGGCTGCCCAGTCACCTCTGTGGGGCAGGGTGCCCTCTGGGCACCACGCCCTGGCACCCGGGAACCCTGAGAACTTATGTTCAGGGGATGCCCCAAGGACCTGGGGGCATCGCAACGTCCTTGGTGCGCCCTGTGCCTTTGGGCTCCTCTGTTGCTGCCCCAACTCCGGCCCCTCGCGTCCCTTTCCCCGGCTCCCTCTCAGGGATCTAAGTCCCCCCTCCCTCTTTCCCCTGCCCCGCTTCCCCTGCCCCCCTTCCCCTGCCCCCCTTCCCCTGTCCCCCTTCCCCTGCTCTGCCCGATGCGCCCACGCCGAGCTCGGATCCAAGTTCTCCCGCGGCACAGCGTCCGCGCGGCTCTCCAGCGCCCCCTGCCGGAGAGAGCCTCGCTGCCCCGCGGGTCGGGCGGCGGGCGGCGGGCGGGACCGCCGGGCTCTCCTCGCTGGCGGCCCGCGGTTGGTGCTATAACCCTCTCCGGCCCCCTGTCCTGGGGCTGGGGCTGCCGCTGACACCCCTCCCCGCCCTCGGCCCGAGCCCGGGACTCGTGGGGACGCGGGAGCCGCGCCCGGGCTCCAGTGGGGACAGACCTCAGACCGCCCCCAGACAGGTGCCCCCTGCGCACGGAGCTGGGGTGGACGTTTTTGGGGAGAGGGCAGGGCCTCGCCCGGTCACCCCGGTGCTCCGGGCCCGGGTGTTTAGGACCCAGGGGCAGCCGGGGCGGCTCCCTGGCCGCGGGGGATCCTCCCCCTCCGGCCGGTGCCGGCTCAGATGTCGGAGCGGCGGCGGCGGCTCTGCGCTCCGCACCCACCGTCTGCGGCAGCGGGGCTGGCGGCCCCGGCCCCGGCCCGGCCCCCTGCCCCCACCCCATGCCCCAGTCCTCACCCCGAAAACCTGCCCCGCGGGGGGCCTTTCCCCGAGCCGCCGGCCCGCCCCGTCCAAGCCGGGAGCCATGAACGACCAGTACCACCGGGCGGCCCGGGACGGCTACCTGGAGCTCCTCAAGGAGGCCACCCGGAAGGAGCTGAACGCCCCCGACGAGGATGGCATGACCCCCACGCTCTGGGCTGCTTACCACGGCAACCTGGAGTCGCTGCGCCTCATCGTGAGCCGGGGGTGAGTGCCCAGCCCGGCCCCGCGGGCAGCGGGCAGAGCGCCCCGCTCTCAGCCGCAGCCCCTCGGGGCCCCCTGCCCCTCTCCTCCGAGCCTCTGCCTTCCCTGGGGCGGACCCTGGGCTGGGGCCTTGGGGCCTGGCGGTTGTGGGAGGGAGGGGGACACCGGCGGAGGCATGTGACACTTGTGACCTGGATATGGGGATAGGAGAGGAAGGCTAAAATTTGGGGGTTCACGATTATAGGAGGGGCTGCAGAGGGAGGGGGAGCGGGGAGAGGTCTCCTGCGTGGGTGGCACCTTGCAGCAAGTGTGAGAGGCGCTGTGAGAAGGGAGAGAAGGTGCTAAAGCCTCAGAGGGAAAAGGGGGGGGGCTAGGAAAGGAGGGGTTCCCGCGGCCCACCCAGGCTGGATCTGAGGGCTTGCCCAGCGGGGTGCCCCCCCCCCCACACAGGCTGGGCTCACACTCTCTGGCCTCACTGCCAGGATTTATGGGCATTGCCCACAGCACCAGGCGTCACTGGGTTCAGGCACCCCACAACTCCCCTGCACCCCTCCCCCACGGGAGGGCCCTCTCCCTCCCTTTGGAATTGTTTAGGGGGGCAGGGGGAGCACAGAGCCCAGGCCTGAGTGCCAGGGACGGGGTTTGGGGGTAGCCATTGAGGAACGTGGGGTTCAGGGACACGGAAGGGGGCTCCCGGGCTGAATGGCATTGTGGAACCCCCCCTCCCCCAGCAGATTTATAGAGAAGCCAGGTTGAACGGACAGACACCAGGGCAGCCAGGACAGAGGGAACGGGGAGGAGATGCCCAGGAGGGTCCGGGGACGTGTGGAGGGCCCGGGGTTGGCCTGTGGCCTGATCTGTGGGGAGTGGGGAGCCCCTTGCCTCCCCTGGGGGGCTGTTCCCGGGCCCAGCAGGCGGAGCAGCCCCTAAGGCCAGGCAGCAGAGCCACGTCCCAGAAGGCTGAGCCCCTCCACACCCAGAGGGCACCGTGATCCTGCCCTCCTGCCCCTCCCTCGGAGGGGCTCATTCTCCCCCAGCGCCCCCTCCTCCAGCAGAGGGCACGGTGGTGTCTGGGTGTGGGCACCAGATGCCAAGCAGCCCTCCCCTCGTGGCCCTGGGGGACTTGGCAGCCTGGAAGGGCCGTGAGGAGGGGGCTGCTCAGGGAGCGGTGGTGACAAAGGGATGATTCTTCCTCCAGCCCCGGGGTGGCCTTGTGGCCTCTTTAGCCTGAGGCGGAGGCCCTGAGCTGGGCTCCTGTGGGAGGAGGAGCCTGCCCCGCTGGGGGGACACCGGCTGGTGTGGAGGGTGCTGCAGGGCTGGGGGTCCTGTGGACAGGCCTGCCTCGCAGGGCTCCTAATGATGGGGCAGCGGGGCCGAGAGGGCGCTGGGCCCCGGGCAGCCTTCCCTCCTCCTCCCTCTAGTCCTGGCTGCCCCCACGCTCCCCTCCTGGCCCAGGCCAAGACCCGACACCTGCTCTCACACTCGGGCTTGCCAGGCCTGGCCCCGCTCCCTGCAGACATGGCCGTGCCCGCCGTCACGCAGGCTCACACCCTCACGCACACGCACTGACCCGGGACTCGGGCCCAGCACACACCACCCCTCAGCCTCCTACGATCACCCCCGCACACGCCGCGGGGCTCCCCACCGCGCCTGCCCAGAGACCCAGCCGCGCCCTGGCCCACCGCCGCTCCGGGCCAGCTCCCCACCGCGCCCCATGAATAATTCACGCCTTTCTCTCTGGGCATCAATTATTCAGCCCCTGAGATTCCCAGCCCTCCGTGCTCTGGGGAAAGCCCCGCCCTGGCCCCGCCTTCCCTGTCGCCCCACCTCCTGCCCCCGGGGCCCGGCTACGTCCGACTAGGGGGGGCCCCTGGGCTGCGAGACTTCTGGAACCAGGAGAGATCGCAGGCCCCCGGGTCCCCAGGGGTGACCGTGGGGGAGGCTGGGAGCTCCCCACGCCCGCAGCCCCTGCCAGACTGCCCGCCGTCTGAGCTGCGACGGCTCACCACCCCTCCCCACGTGTCCCCACCGCAGGGGCGACCCGGACAAGTGTGACATCTGGGGCAACACGCCCCTGCACCTGGCCGCGTCCAACGGCCACCTGCACTGCCTGTCCTTCCTGGTGTCCTTCGGGGCCAACATCTGGTGCCTGGACAACGACTACCACACGCCGCTGGACATGGCCGCCATGAAGGGCCACATGGAGTGCGTGCGCTACCTGGACTCCATCGCGGCCAAGCAGAGCGGCCTCAACCCCAAGCTGGTGGGCAAGCTGAAGGACAAGGCGTTCCGCGAGGCGGAGCGGCGCATCCGCGAGTGCGCCAAGCTGCAGCGCAAGCACCACGAGCGCATGGAGCGGCGCTACCGGCGCGAGCTGGCCGAGCGCGCCGACACGCTCAGCTTCTCCAGCCTCACGTCCAGCACCCTGAGCCGCCGGCTGCAGCCCCTGGCGCTGGGCGGCCAGCTGCCCTACTCGCAGGCCACCCTGCACGGCACCGGCCGGGGCAAGGCCAAGATCCAGCGCAAGCTGGAGCGGCGCAAGCAGGGCGGCGAGGGCACCTTCAAGGTGTCGGAGGACGGCCGCAAGAGCGTGCGCTCGCTCTCGGGCCTGCAGCTGGGCAGCGACGTGATGTTCGTGCGCCAGGGCCCCTACGCCAACCCCAAGGAGTGGGGGCGCTCCCCGCTCCGGGACATGTTCCTCTCCGACGAGGACAGCGTCTCCCGTGCCACGCTGGCCAACGAGCCGGCCCACTCGGAGGTCAGCACCGACTCAGGCCACGACTCCCTGTTTACCCGCCCGGGCCTGGGCACCATGGTGTTCCGCAGGAACTACCTGAGCAGCGGGCTGCACGGGCTGGGCCGGGAGGACGCGGACGGCGGCGCGGGCCCGCCGCGGGGCCGGCTGCAGAGCTCCCCCAGCCTGGACGACGACAGCCTGGGCAGTGCCAACAGCCTGCAGGAGCGCAGCTGCGCCGAGGAGCTGCCCTGGGACGAGCTGGACTTGGGCCTGGACGAGGACCTGGAGCCCGAGACGAGCCCGCTGGAGACCTTCCTGGCCTCGCTGCACATGGAGGACTTCACCTCCCTCCTGCGGCAGGAGAAGATCGACCTGGAGGCCCTGATGCTGTGCTCGGACCTGGACCTCCGCAGCATCAGCGTCCCACTGGGCTCCCGCAAGAAGATCATGGGGGCCGTGCGGAGGCGGCGGCAGGCGCTGGAGCGCCCGCCGGCCCTGGAGGACACGGAGCTGTGAGTGCCTGCCCGCCCCCCCACTCCCATCCTCCCCCCTCCCCCCGCAATGGGCGGGGAGACAGGGGGAGGGGGAGGGGATCTGCTTTTCCCGGAAGTGAGAGGTAATTCCGCATTTCATTCACCCCAGTCCCCACCCATCACATGAAGCCCCATTTATTCCCTTTACCCCCAGTTCAGAAAAAGAGGTGCCAATTTGGTGAAACCTTATCATCGCGAATGGACAGTGCACCTTGGTTTTGGGCAAATCGAAAAGTGGGGAAATGAGTGTCTTAGTCTGGAGGAGACATGGGGGTCACAGTCATCACAGCCCTCCCAAGTCCCAGCTCTTCCTTGCACTTTGTCCTTTCATTTCATCCTCCCCAGCTCCCCAGCGCAGGGCTGGATCACCCCCATTTTCTAGTGAGCAAGTGGGGGCTCCGTGGGTTTGAGTGACTCCCCCCGAGGGCCTGCTGCTGCCGGGGCAGAGCTGGGCTGGCTCCCTGTCTGTGACTAAAGCCTGGGGACAGGCAGCGTGGTCACTTGCCTTCAGGAAACCTCAGGGCCGGAGCTCGAAGCTGCTGCCACACCAGCTGAGCCGGGGCCCATCTCTGCCCCGACCCCCCACCCCCCTCGCCCGGCAAACCACAAGCCCTGTTGGTATCTCTACGTGTGTGTGGGCAGGGGTGGATGTGGGGAGGCAGCCTGGTTTAGAGTTTGGGTGTGGGGTGGGCGCCCCTAGGCAAGTGTCCCCATTCCTGCCCATCAGCCTGCCCATCGGTAAGTTGTCAAGTGTCCGAATGGCTGGTCTGGGTTTAACGTGTCTCAGAGGCTCTTCTCTGAGCCTGCTTCCGTCTCTTTCCCCGCAGGTAACGGCCTTCTCTCCAGACCAAAGTGAATTGCAAGTTGCCACAACCCACGGTGGGGCCACAGTCTCCACAGTTGCCGGCCCTGCAGCCCAGGCCCCTCCCCAGGGGCAAGGACGGAAGCAGAGGGCATGGCCGGAGGCACCCAGAAGGCTCCGTTGGAGTGGCCCGAAAGGGCATGTGGGTTTGCAGGAGGCCCGGGGACCACACAGCGTGCCCATGAGAGCGGGTGCGAGTGGCTGTGTGGGTGGGCGCAGCCTGTCCCAGGGGCCGCTGCTCCCCATCCCTCCTCCGGGGACCCCGTTGCTCAGGCTGGACACTTGCTCACGTCCTATTCCTGGGAAGAGGAGAGTGTGGGCTGCCTCCCCTCACACTCCAGAGAAGAGGTCCGAGCTCGACTCTCAGCCAAATGCCCTGACCTCAGTCCCCGCCGCGCCCCTAGCACAGCCCCCTCTCCTTCTCCCACCGGCCATGCTGGGGAGTTGGAGTGCCAGGCTGGAGAGTGTGTGTGTGTGTGTGTGTGTGTGTGTGTGTGTGTGTGTTGGGGGGGAGGGTGACTGGTGCCCTTCCCAGCTTACCCTGGGGCAGAGCCCAGCCTGACTCTGCCCTCCCTACCCTGTCCTCCTCCACCTCCCCTCTCCTTGGCTGTGTAGCCTGGCCCCCCGGGGACCCCAGAGGGTCAGGGCAACAGATGCAAGGTGCTAGCGTAACCGGCTGCAGTATTATGGCCCCAGGCCTGAGGCAGGTGGAGGCTGGCATGGCAGGGAGTCCAGCCTGGTGTGGGCAGGCCACCGTGCGGACACTGGAGCAGCCTGAGGGGGTGGATAGTCTAAGCTGCTGATTGTCCCAGGGCTCTGCGTGCCTGTGTGGGGGCTGGTTGGTGGTGGGTAAGCGAGAGCTGGAGAGCTCGCGGGAGGAAGGCCAGCCCCTTCAGGTCCTCAGACACGTGTTCTCAGAGCTCCCCAGCCACACCGAGGTCACAGATATGGGATGGACCCCATCCCCGACCTTCAGCTTGGAAGCAGCTTCTGCTGGGAGCACTGCCACAGCCTTGCCCCCACTACTTCCCTGGCTGGGGCAGGGAAAGAGAATCCCCAAAGAATGCCACGGCCTCCCTTTGGGTGTCTGGGCCCTGTCCGGCCATGCCCAGAGCTGGGGGTGTGATGGAGGTGGTCGGTAGTGCCTGGTCCCACCCGGAGGGCTGGGCCGCCTGCCCCTGCCACCTTGAGCCCATCCCAGCCCTCCTCCCTGTTCTCGGCCTGAGCCTGGGGCCACCCAAGTGCCGACTAGATTCCCTCGGAGCCCCAGGGAAAGCTGCCCTTTCTCCCCTGCGCCTGGCTGCGCGCTGCCCCGGCCCCTCCTGTTCCCCCGGGCGGGGCGGCGGGCTCTGTGACTCCCCCCTGTGCACAGCGCCCCTCCTGCAGGTCCATTATACCTTTTGCAGAGTACGTTCTGCGTCACTGTCATGCCTGTGTCCCGTTCTTTAATCACGTGGGGGTGGGGGAGGGGTGGGATGAAGAGGGCAAGGGGGTGGGGGAGGAGAGGGAGAGGGCCTCTTTGAGCCTTCGAGGACTTGGTCCCATTCCTCGGAGGAGGTCTTGGGGTGGGCGGCTGGGCACTCCTCCCTGGGAATCTCTGCGGGGCATCCCCTCCCCTGGGCCTTCCCTGCTCCCTGGGCCCAGAAATGGGAGCTGATGGAGAGGGTGGGCTCAGGACTGGGGTGAGACAGCCCCCAGCAGCCGAGTGAGGAGGCAGCCCAGGAGCCAGGCCTGTCCCCAGGGCCTGCAGCTGCTGAAGGGAGAACCACACTTTCTCCCCTCTCACCCGGGTCTGCCTGGGCTTCTCCAGACCCGGGCAGAAGCCGAATCCCAGCACACTGCCATCCACCACTGGGCCCCATCAGTCCAGAATCAAGGCCCCAGTCCCCCTGTTTGGAACCCTCCTTTCCTCCAGCTCCCCCTTCAGCTGCAGACAATGAGCTCTGTTTTCTCAGCCAAGTGTGGGAAAGGGCTCTGGAGTTTTGTTCCATTCCCTCAGAATGCTGGTCCAAGTTCTCTGCCAAGGGGAGTTCAAGACTACCCCCTCCCTCGGGCATCAATCAGAAAGGTTCCCGGGACCTCAGGGCTGGAAGGTTGCCTAGCAACCATCTAGGGGTTCTAGGCCACCCCCCTCCGCTTTACAGATGAAAAAACTGAGGCTTGCCAAGAGGAAGGTCCAGACCCAGACACAGGCCTCCTTTCCTCACCCTGCGTCTGTCAAGGGAGCCAAGAAGACGTGAGATCCTGCCTCCCATGCTCAACGGGGTTCGTCAGCCCAGCGACCCCTACTGGCCGTCCTGGCCACTGCACCTACCTCTGGAAAGACGGGCCTTTCGGGGCAGCGAAGCAGGTCCAGGGAAGGACATGGGGATGAAGATTCTCAGTGACAGAGAGAGCATCAGAGGGTCAGCGTGGAGGCAGAGACTAACCGGAAGCAGTGGGGGCGGCGTCTCCAGGGGTCAGTGCGGCTGAGGGTGGAAGCCCGGGGTGAAGAGCTGGTGGCTCCAGAGGTCTGGGGGTCACACAGAGTGAAGGGGAGAATTTTACACCAGACTCAACTTTCTGCACTCATTCCCCTAAAAATTGAGATCGAGTTAGGGAGATTCTTTCTGAAAGGTTAGGGCAGTGGTCGGCAAACTCATCAGTCAACAGAGCGGCAAACCGGGGTTCTCCAGCCACATGTGGCTCTCGCGAGCCGCAGTTTGCCGACCACTGGGTTAGGGTAACCAATGATGCTTAGTGTTGGGGATTAGAATCTGATGGTAATATGGACACTTCCCCTGGAAAATGCACATCGGACACACACACACACACACACACCCTCACTCAAGTGCACTTTCATTCACAACTTCAGGCCGTTCACCGAGCCCAAGAGGCTCAGGGCCAGGTTACGAGCCGTAGTTACCTGCTGTGGAGCGTAGGTAAGTGTGATCACCGATGGATGGAGATGAGGGTGGGGAATGAATCAGAGGCAGAAAAGGCCTCCGGGTATGTGGCTCACGGCCTCATTTTTACAGACGAGGTTAACCGAGGCCAGAGGGCAACGGACAGGCTGAAGGCCACAGAGCAGCCAAGTGGGCAAAGTAGTCCCAGGTTTCCCGATGCTTTCCACGGTGCCAGCTGCCTCCTGTGCCCTCCTTAGCCAGTCCCGGACAGCGTGACCCTCCCGGTCTCCCAGCCCGCGCCTGCCCGCGTCACCTCCTCTGAGGTAAGCCTGGGCTTATGGGAGGCAGCAAGCCTCAGGAGGCAGCCAGCTCTGGGCAGCAAGACCATCTCCGCCCCTTTCTAGCTGTCTGGCCTGTCACCCCCTCTTGAGTCTGTCCAATAGGTATTATAATTTATTATAATAACAGTGTTACTCCCATAGGTCATTGGGGAGGGTGAGATGATAATGGGGTAAAGCACTCAACGCACAGCAGACAATAACGATCATGCTTATTGGCAGCCTGAAACAGACCCCTGTTCCTGTGGTCCCAGCCCCACCCAGCTGGTGAGCCCTAGGCAGTCCCAGGGGGCAGCTCTCTTGAGACCGAGCCCCTCCCCCACTAAACACATAGAGGCAACCTCATCTGACCAGCAGGGGGCGATGACAACCCAGCCTGACCTGGTGGACAGGAATCTGGAGATGAGGAGGGCTCATGGGCATCCCTGTGCCCAAGGCAGGGAGAGCTGACATGCTGGGTGGTCTCCAGACTCCCCTTTCAATGCTCCCCACACCATCTACACAGTGTGGTCATACCACACACACACACACACATACACACACAGAAAACATGGGCAAGAAGGCGCGGGAAATAGGCAGAGTGAGCATGTGCAGGCCCTTTTCTTGCTGGAATCGGAAACCACGTTTTATTATCATTATCTATCATTATCATCAATATCAAAGGGTATCAGATTTAAATTATATCAATGTTCCACATAACAATAATAATTACAATTGCACGAGAACTGTCATCAGTGATAACTGTATCTACCACCAGCACTTGCCCTGTGTGGTCCATTGGCATCCATTCTACAGAAATGACCTTTTCTGGCTGGTGTGGCTCAGTGGTTGAGCTTCAGCCTATGAAGCAGGAGGTCAAGATTCTATTCTCGGGCTCAATCCCCAGGAAGGGGCGCGCAGGAGGCAGCCGATCAATGATGTTCCTCTCTTACCGATTTTTTTTTTTTAATTTTCTCTATCCCTCTCCCTTCCTCACTTTCTAGAAATAAATAAAAACATATTGAAAACAATAACAACCAAGGAAATGATCTTAATACGCTCCCCAGAGAACTGTTAAGGTAACTGGTATCGCCTTCATCCACTCCGAATCACCCTCTCAGGAAGTGACTTGCCTAAGGTCACACAGCAAGGACGGGGACCTGGTGTGTCTGAGTCCCAAGCCTCGCTCTACACACGGTCCTCGGCCTCCATCCTGTGTGAGGACCCTGGCTCTCCCTCCCGCCCTGGCACCAACCCCACCAGGCCCAACACACACCCTTAAGGTGAACCCATATCTGGAGTCGCCGGCACACACCGGACTGCGGTGCCAACCGGACTCAGGGGGAGCAGCCAGGTGCCCCTTGGGGAGCCTCACCCGCCTGGGGGTTCCAAACACCCCCAGCCTTGGCTGCTCAGGGACCTAACCTGCTATGTATGTTGGAAAGGCAGCCTGGGCCTCCGTTTCCTCTCCTGTAAGGTGGGGACAGGCGGACAGCCCCAAGAGCCTCAGCGGGGTCCCCAGCAGCACTGGGCTGGCCCTCTCCCCCCACCTCCCACTCCCTGACCTGTCTCCGGGCCCTCACCAACCTGGCGTGGTCCTTGCAGGATGGCTGGCAGCTTGGGAGGGCGGGCGGAGGCTGCGGGCAGCCGGGGCAGGCCAGGGGTCCAGTCCTCGGAGGTGAGGCTGGGCACCCTGTCGATGTGGGCCCGCCCTGCTGGAGCCAGAGGAGCTTGGGGTGCCAGTCCCACTCTCAGCTGACCAACATCTGAGCCAGAGGCCAGGCTGCTTCTCCCCACTCCCTGCACCCCACCCCAGTGAATAATGCCGCTTGCCTCACGGAGCGGGGCCTCCAGGGCTTTGATGCCTGGGCCTGGGGTGGGCTGGGCTGGGGTGGGGTGGGGAGGGTGGCGTGCTGGGTGGAAGACAAGAAAGGGTTAAAGACCCAGCCACCCAGGCTCAGAGCACAGAAATGGTCCTGTTGCTGGGAGAGGTGTCCCTCTGCCTCCCAGGTCTCCCAGCTCTCAGGGTCCCCCTCCGAGCCTGGGGTCAGGGCAGGGCTCCTTCCCACCCCAACCCCAACCCCAACCACAACCACAGCCACAGCCACAACAATAATTAACCCGGTGAACCCCAGCAAATAAAGATCTGAATCACAAAAAGGAGGCGTCATCGCTGCCCCAGGGTGGGGAACTCCGAGGTCCCGGAAGGCCAAACCCAGTATCCTGTGACACCCCAGTCCCCACACACTGCTAGGCCCGAGGGCACCCCGTCCACTGGGGCCTGGGGAAGGGCTCACCTGTCTTGGGTTTGGACCAGAGAGAAGATTAAGAATAAGAAAAATAAGAAATAAAAATAGAAAACTGTACAAGTCTCTTCCCTGAATTTTCTAGTTTGTCCCAGGGGGAGGGGCTCAGTGTCGAGATAGGAAAGGGGAAAGGCACCACCCCTTGTCTGATTTCATTTTTAAAATATATTTTATTATTTTTTTACAGAGAGGAAGGGAGAGAAATAGAGTTAGAAACACCCATGGGAGAGAAACATCGACCAGTGGCTTCCTGCATACCCCCCACTGGGGATGTGCCCGCAACCAAGGTACATGCCCTTGACCAGAATCGAACCGGGGACCTTTCAGTCCGCAGGCCAGGCCGAGGCTCTATCCACTGAGCCAAACCAGTTTCGGCAATTAAAATACCATATTTTCCGGCGTATAAGACGACCCCTAATTTTACAGTTAAAACAGGTTTAGGCCTATCTTCGCTGTATAAGACTACCCCCCACTTCCGAGGCAACCTCTCTGACTCTGGCCAATCTGAGCGGGCTTTTTACTAGAACACCGTGTAGCTTCGGGTACAGAACATGCACACTGTGTTCTAGTAAAAAGCCTGCCCAGATTGGCCAGAGTCAGAGAGGCGGTCTATTAAAAAAAAGAACTGGTGTTGCCTCGGAAGTGGGGGGATAGTCTTATACAGCGAATACAGGCCTACACCTGTGTTTTAACTGCAAAATTAGGGGGTCGTCTTATACGCCCGGTCGTCTTATATGCCGGAAAAACACGGTATATATATTTTTAAAAATCACTGGACGGGTGGGCCAACTCTCCAGGGCCAGGTGTCCGCCAGGCGCTGCTGAGAAAGACACTCGGGCTGCGGGTAAAGCCCTGCCACCGGAGCAGGTGCGGGACGGGCGGTGTTTGAGGCCAGCGGTCAGGGCCCGGAGGTGTCCGCGCGTCCCCCTGGCCGGTCCCCTCCGCTGGGGCGGGGGCGGGGGCGGGGGTGGGGATCTCGCGCCGTCTCCTCCCCGCCTCCCGCATCGATCCTCCCGGGGGAAGTTCCGCGCCCGCCCGGGGCCGGCGAGCAGCACCGGGGCGGGTGCCAGGCGCGTGACTCCGCCCCGCCCGCGCCGCCCGCGCCCTGCGCCTCCCGGGCCGCAGACGCCGCGTCCGCCCGGCGGTCCGTCCGGGGCATGGAGGCCGCGGCGCGGGGGGCGCCCCGGGGCGGCGGGAGCGGCGGGGCCGAGGCGCTGCTGGGCGAGCTGGAGGCGCGCGTGCGGGCCGTGGTGAGCGCGAGCTCGTGGTGGGAGCGCCACGGCGTGGACTGCTCCATCCTGGCGCTCAGCCTGCTCGCCCTGCCGCCCGGTGAGGCAGCGGGACCCGGGACCCGGGGACGGGCGACCAGGGGCCCGGCGGGGCGGAGGGTGCGAGGGAGGGGATGAAGAGGGCTGGGGGTGGAGTTGGGGAGACGCTGCGTGCTGGGGACCCCGAATCTGGCCGTCTGTTTGGGGTGTCCTGTCCTGTGTCCTCAGAGGACCTGGGCGCGGGGTGGGTAGGGGGGGGCAAGGGGGGAGAGACCAGGCATGAAGGGCAGAGGTGAGAGGGATGGGAGGCTGGGAGGGGTGAGGACCGTAATCCAGGGGAGGAAGTTCCGTGGGACCACCAGGATGGGGTGAAGAGGGAGGGGGTTCCCTGGTCCGGACCCCCCATGCCCAGCCGTTGCTGCTCTGGCCGGGTCGCCGGACCAAGGCTCCTGGAATCTCCTTGAGGAGTCACGGGGCTGTTTGTCCCCAAACCCTGATGAGAGAGCCACCCCCTCAGGCCGCAGGGGGGGCCCAGTGCTGGGCTCGCTTTGGTCTGGGCTCCCCCGGGTTTGGGCCCAGATCTTCAAAAGCTGAGAAAAACCTTGCTCTCTCTCCCTCCCTCCCCCCTCCCCCAGGGTTCCTGTGCCTGCGCTCGGAGCATGGCCTGGTCTTTGTCCTGGGCATCACCATCCTGGGTGTGTGCCACTACACGCTCACGGTCAAGGGCAGCCACCTGGCCACGCACGGTGCCCTCACCGAGTCCAGGCGCTGGAGCAAGATCTGGGCACACTTCTTCGTGGAGGTGAGCCTGGGAGAGGGCGAGGCAGCTGCTGGGCCGGGCGGGCATCCTCCTGGCTCGGTGCCAGTGTGTAGGTGTGTGCCCACGGGGCGGGTGGCTGCAGCTGCTGGGAAGTGGGTCCCGGTGTGCAGCCTGCTCCACGGTGTGTGTCTGTGGGTGCCCTGGAGGGGGGGGTACTGTGGGGGAGAGGTGTGGGGGGGATGCACGGGCATCTATGACAGTGGACTCGGCCTGGGTACCCCTGCTGCTCTGGGGGCACCCGCTCAGCTCTCAGCAGCACCAGCCCACATGGTGACTCCTCCTCCTCCGGACACCTGGGCCTGGCAGGTCTCAGCTATAGCCTTGGGGCCTCCTGGTTTTGCAATCAGGGCTTACAATGTGAGCCAGGGACAGAAGGGGGCGGGGAGGAGGTGCCGGGTGTCACAGTGTCCCAGCCCCAGAACACGTGTCCCTCTGATCCTGGTGACGCTGAGCCATCCTGACCAGGCCCCTCCCTGCTCCCCAAGTCTGCTCCAGCAAGGTCCCTCCTCTCTCCTGCCCCTGCGCCCCCTCTTCCTCCCCCCCTCCCCCGCTTCGGCCTTCTCACCCCGGCCCTCGGGCAGGCAGGGCCAGGGAGGCAAAGGGCTCTGGCCAGGCTGCCGTCTCTCTGGCCCGGTCTCAGGCCTCTCCGGTTCCTCTGCGGGACTTGTCCCCTCCTCGCCCGGACCGCGGCCTGGCAGCCGGGCAGGAGACGGCGGAGGGCACGGCCTTGGGAGCTGCCCCTCCCGGTGCGTTCCCAGCCCCACTGGCCGCCTGACCTTGGGCACGTTATCAAGTCCAGCATCTAATGTTCGCTTCCTCCTCTAATGAACGGTGGCCGCAGGGCCTCCCTCCAAGCCGGGTGGGATTCCCCGGGGCCTGCTCTTCGGGGCTGGCTCCTGTTGCCTGTGCTTTCTGTCCTCCGGAGGGCGCCTGCAGCAGCGGGAGGGTCAGCGGCTTTTGTTGTTTGTTTTGAACAGAAAGGTTGATGCATTTATGCAAATATCAGAAGACAGGTGTGTGTGTGTCTGTGTGTGTGTGTTGGGGGCCGTTGGCTGTCCTCTGCGTTGCACAAAGGACCAGCTCCTGCTGCCCAGGACCCCCCTGAGCCCCCGCCTGTCCACTTCTCCCACGTCCTGCGGTCGCCCTTCTTGCTGGGTGCCTGGGTCTCCCATCCTTATAGAATAATCTAGTCCTCCCCTCCGCAGCCTTCCGTGTCAGCTGAGTGTCCCTGGCTTTCCCAGGGCACCCCGTCTTGCCAGGTTCAGCTCAGGAGCTGCTGGCTCTACAAGGGGGTGGGCAAGGACCTCACCCCCTCTGACCCGCTCTCCCCATGGGGGAGGGGCAAGTAGCGACACTCCAGGTTGTTGTTTCCCCACTAAAATGTCCCAATCAGCCGAAGCCGGTTTGGCTCAGTGGTAGAGCATCAGTCTGCGGACTGAAAGGTCCCAGGTTCGATTCCAGTCAAGGGTATGTACATTGGTTGCGGGCACATCCCTGGTAGGGGGTGTGCAAGAGGCAGCTGGTTGATGTTTCTCTCTCAACGATGTTTCTAGCTCTCTATCTCTCTCCCTTCCTCTCTGTAAAAAAATCAATAAAATATATTTAAAAAATAATAATAAAAAAAATAAAATGTCCCAATCATCCCCGCACCTCCCCAACCCAGCCTCTCTCTGAAGACCCACTTCCGGTCTACAGGAGAAGGTTCCATCCTCCCTGCCCCCCTCTGACCCTCTCTCCAGCCCATGGATAACCTGCCTTCCCTGCAAGAGCGCCTGCTCCTTCCTGTTCCTCCCTGTCCTCCCTGCCCCTCTCTGTCCCTCTCTGTCCCTCTCTGTCCCTCCCTGTCCCTCCCTGTCCCTGGTGATGCCACAGGGACTGCTGTGAAGGGCCACAGGGAGGTGGGGGAAGGTGGGGGGAGGTGGGGGCAGGTGGAGGAAGGTGGGGGAAGGTGGGGAGAGGTGGGGGGAGGTGGGGGCAGGTGGAGGAAGGTGGGGGGAGTGAGGGCAGGTGGAGGAAGGTGGGGGAAGGTGGGGGAAGGTGGGGGCAGGTGGAGGAAGGTGGGGGAAGGTGGGGAGAGGTGGGGGGAGGTGGGGGCAGGTGGAGGAAGGTGGGGGGAGGTGAGGGCAGGTGGAGGAAGGTGGGGGAAGGTGGGGGGAGGTGGGGGCAGGTGGAGGAAGGTGGGGGGAGGTGGAGGCAGGAAGAAGGTGGGGGAAGGTGGGGGGAGGTGGAGGAAGGTGGGGGGAGGTGGGGGCAGGTGGAGGAAGGTGGGCAGCAGGGGGGGCCATATTAAATCCTGAAGCTCAGCCAGGATTAACTCCGGAAATGAGAGGGACCTTAGACACTCCCCTCCTGTCCCTGGTGGATGCTCCCCAGAGTGGAAGGGAGCAGGCTGGGCCAGGTGCTAAGCTCCACTGTTTCTCAACTTCCGGGGGCGGGCGAGTCCCAGCTGCTCCAGAGCCAGCACCGCCCAGCTCTGCCCCCAGGAGTCTCACCCACGGGAGGCCCCACCTTCATCCAAGGCCTTTGTGGCGGCGGAAACAGAGCCAGGCCACAGCCTGGTCATAATTCTCAAATATTCTCTTCCCACGAGCTCAGTGTGGCCATCAGCCTCAGGGCTGCACAGCCCGCTCTCTCTCCTCCTGTCCACGCCTGCTGCCCTCCGCTCCCATGTCCACCTCCGGAGCGGCCCCGCCATGGCCCTGGCCCTCACCTGGAACCCTGGCCTTGACCCTGATTCCTCTCCTCCCCCAGCCCTCACCTTTCCCCCAGATCCTGCCTCCAGGCCTGCCCACCGCCCTCACCATCTCGCATCTCCCGACCAGCAGCCTCTGGCCGCCACCCTCCCCATCCTGTCCCTCCCTTCCAGTCTCAGAGCGTGACCTATTTGACACCCAACTTCGGTTGTGTCATAATTTTATAATGACGGTGTTTAATCCTGCAAAGCATTGTCTGTTTAAGAGATAAAATAAAAGGAAATATTAGAAGACACGTAAGGGATTGTGAGCCTCGCTTACCCCCTCGGGCAGCTCAACCACTGAGCCACACTGGCCGGGCTTCCTTTTAAAAAAAAAAATTTATTTCCACCCCCAAACCCCTTCCTCTTTGGCCACCATCAATTAATTCTCTGTATTTTTTAGTCTGTTCTGCTCTGGTTATTTTGTTGTTGTTGCTTTAGATGCCACACATCAGTGGAAGCGTGCGGTAGTTGTCTCTCTGACTGACATATCACTTGGCATGAAGCCCTCTAGGCCATCCGCGCGGTTGCAAGTGGCGAGTTGTCAGCCTTTGCGGTGGCGGAGTCACCGTCCCCTGTACGCACACACTGCTTCTCCTTTACCCGCTGCTCTGCTGACGGCACTGGGGCTGCTTCCGTGGCTGGGCTATTACAGACAACGCAGTGAGCATCGGGGTGCATAGATTTTTTTCAAATTCGTGTTTCTGTTTTCTCCGGATGAACACCCAGAAGCCGAGTTTCGGGGTCACATGGAGGTCTATGTGTAATGTTCGGAGGCACCTCCATCCTGCTTTCCACCGCGGCTGCACCGGCGTGCACTCCCCCCACAGTGCCCAGGGTCCCCTCTCCTCCATGTCCTCGCCGCACCTGTTATCGGCTGGCTTATCGGTGATTCCGCTGGCATTTCTTTTTAAAAATATATATTTTACTGATTTTTTTTTTTTTTCAGAGAGGAAGGGAGAAAAATAGAGAGTTAGAAACATCCACATTGATCAGCTGCCTCCTGCACACCCCCTACTGGGGATGTGCCCGCAACCAAGGTACATGCCCTTGACCGGAACCGAACCCGGCACCTTCCAGTCCGCAGGCCGACGCTCTATCCACTGAGCCACACCGGTCAGGGCTCAGCTGGCACTTCTTGATGAGAGAGGCAATGCAGGAGGCCTGGCCCTGGGAGCGGAAGGGCACAGAAGGCGCAGTTACAATCAGTTGCTTCTCCCGCCTGGGACACAACTGTGAGCCTCAAAGCCGCTGGCTGAGCCCCCGGTGCCCACCGCCAGGCTCCTGCCATTAACGTGACCGAGCCAAGAGCCCAATGGGCGCGTGCTCTTGAGCAGGCGGGTCCTTGGAGACCAGCAGGCCTGGGAGAGATGTCTCTTTAAGCCACGATACCCTCCCACCTCTCAGGTTCTGTCCCTGTTGCGAGGTTACAAGAACGTGCCCTGGGGGTTGCACCACCTGAGAGCAGTGCAGCCGGCCTGTCTCCGGGGGCTCCGCAGCAAGGCTGCCACAGAACTGGCATTGCCCCCCCACCTCCCCCTTGCCCTCTGCCTTCTACGGACAATGCCACATCTCCTGTTGCTGCTGTAATACTGCACGGTGCCATCACTACCCGTGCTCCTCAGCCTCATTTATTTATTTATTTATTTATTCTTTTTCTTATTGTTTTTTTAAACACTATTCTTTTGAAAAAATATATATATTTTATTGATTTTGTACAGAGAGGAAGAGAGAGAGGGATAGAGAGTTAGAAACATCGATGAGAATCATCGACCAGCTGCCTCTTACACACCCCCTACTGGGGATGTGCCCGCAACCAAGGTACATGCCCTTGACCGGAATGGAACCTAGGACCTTTCAGTCCCCAAGCCGACGCTCTATCCATTGAGCGAAACCAGTTTCGGCATATGTTTTATTTATTTTAAAAAATATTTCTTATTTAAAATATTTTTTTTTTTTATTGATTTTAGAGAGGAAGGGAGAGTGAGAAACGTTAATGATGAGACAGAACCACTGATTGGCTGCCTCCTGCACGCCCCCTACTGGGGATTGAGCGCACAACGTGGAATGGAACTGAGACCTCCTGGTTCATAGATGGATGCTCAACCACTGAGCCATGCTGGCCAGGCCTCTGTGTCCTTTATTTTTTAATTTTAAAAAATATTTAAAAATATATATTTTATTGATTTTTTACAGAGAGTTAGAAACATTGATGAGAGAGAAACATCAATCAGCTGCCTCCTGCATATTGTCTACAGGGGATGTGCCTGCAACCAAGGTACATGCCCCTGAGCAGAATCGAACTTGGGACCCTTGAGTCCACAGGCTGAGGCTCTATCCACTGAGCCACACCGGTTAGGGCCACAGTGTCCTTTAGAAGGAGCGTCTGGCTCCATTTCGTCTCGGCACAGTGTGGGGACAGTGTCCTCCGCTGTCTTCCGTCTCCGCCTGGCTTTGCCTGGACCCAGAGCCGGGGCCCTGCTCTCTGGAGTGAGCGGCACGTCTCAGGGGTCGTGTGGCTTATCTGGGCTGAAAGCTGGGTTCAAACCCCACCTCTGCTGCCCACATCGAGACTGAGCTGGCTGGTCACGTGGCCTCTGTTTCCGCTCCTGTTGACAGCGGGTGACCACAGCCCTGACCCTGGGCTGGGGATTAGCCAGGCGTGCAGAGTGCAGAACGCTGTGTGCTCACCGAGGCCTCCCGCTGCCTGAGGGGCTCAGTGACTGGCTTCAGCACAGTTAGCAGCACCTCGGGGCCTGGATAAGACGCGGGAGAGGCTGCCCTCTGCATGCTCACCTGCAGCCTCCGCCTGAGAAGCACTTAGCCCCTCTGTGCACCCAGAACGGCCGCTCTAGGCATCAGAGAGCGACTGCCCAGGACCGGCTGTGGAGGACCCCACAAATGCCACAGAGGCGCCACCCCGGGGAGCAGTGCGCCCGGCACCCTCACCCCAGATGCCACCCGCGTGGACAGCCTAGGACACGGCCTCCCTTCACCCCTGACTGTGCCCACACCGCCCCTCCCTGCGCGGGCTCAGGGCGCAGAGGAGAGCTCTGAAGGCACAGATCTTTCCGAGATAAACACGCACCCCAGAATGGCAGCCGGATGCCAGGAGCGGGCCCTGCTCCTGGCTGGCAGGCTGTCCGGGTGGTCAGGGGGCAGCGTGGCAATCGGGGGTGGCCTGGCGCCCCTCGCACGCTGCAGTGCCACCCCCGGTGGGCACGGTTCCTCGGACCGGCTGCCCCTCTGCGCTCAGGACACCCGAGAGCTGATGGTCAAGGCCGATTAGCTGGGCTGAGAGCGAGGCAGGGAGGCCGGGAGGCTGGGGTGCTCTTGAGGTCCTCAAGGCCCTGCTGGGCTGGGCTGGGCTGAGCCGGACCGGGCCTCTCTGGCTCCCCCTCCAGGTGTGCACGGCCTTCCCCGCCGAGGACGCGCGGCATGGCCACGTCAAGATGCACCACGGCTACACCAACGTGCTGGGCCTGGGCGACTCCAGCACCTGGCGGCTGCCCTGCCTCAACCGCTACGTCTACATGTTCCTGGCGCCTCTCCTGATCCCCGTCATCACGCCGCTGGTGGCTGTGGGTGAGTGTGCGGGCCTGCGGGGACCTGGTCTTCCCTTTTCCTCCCCCCTCCTCGCTCTCGGAGGCTGCTCTGGAGGAGGGGAGGAGCCCTGGGCTGAGACTGGGCAGGAACGCTCTGGGGCAGCCAGGCTGGGTGGAAAGAGCCCAGACCGGGCCAAGCCTGGCTTAGCTGTGTACGGGCTGGCGACCTCAGGCAGGTAACCTAACCTCTCTGAGCCTCGGTTCTTCCCTGCCCCGCATTGTTACCTCATGAGGTCATGGATGTTAAAACGGTTTGAAAATGCCTCGCACGGTATTGCACGTTGGACTTTTTATTTTTATAAAAGAAACTTTTAAAAGAGTGTTCGTTGATTTCAGAGAAGAAGATTGATTTCAGAGAGAGAGAGAGAAACATCAATAATGAGAGAGAATCATTGATCAGCTGCCTCCCAGTGAGCCTGCAACCCAGGCATGTGCTCTGACTGGGAATCGAACCATGACCTCCCGGTTCATAGGTCAATGCTCAGTCACTGAGCCAAGCTGGCCGGACGCATGATAGAATTTATATATATATAGATTTTTTACAGAGAGAAAGGGAGAGAGATAGAGAGCTAGAAACATCAATGAGAGAGAAACATCGACCAGCTGCCTCTTGCACACCCCCTACTGGGGATGTGCCCACAACCAATGTACATGCCCTTGACTGGAATCAAACCTGGGACCTTTCAGTCCGCAGACCAACGCTCTACCACTGAGCCAAACCGGTTTCGACTGCATGTTAGAATTTTTTAAAATATATATATTTTATTGATTTTTTACAGCGAGGAAGGGAAAAGGATAGAGAGTTAGAAACATCTATCAGCTGCACACTCCCCACTGGGGATGTGCCCGAAATCAAGGTACATGCCCTTGACTGGAATCGAACCTGGGGCTTTTCAGTCTGCAGGCTAACGCTATATCCACCGAGCCAAACCGGTCAGGGCAGCATGTCAGAATTTTTAATATCATGGGAGCAAATCCTCTGGTGGAAGGACAGGGGCTGGGGCGGCAGACCTGGATTCAAGCCCGAGGCCGCCATCAGGGTGACCCGGGCCAAGTTGCCTATTGCCCCATTTCCTCACCCGCACTGTGGGGGAGTGTGCTTTCGGGGTTGAGGGCGATGACCCAGATTGCCTGGTTAGCACCACGGGGCCAGCAGGGAGCCGGCTGGGAGGCGAGCCGTGCCACCCCGCTGTGTTCTTGCCCCGCAGAGCGGCTGAGGAGGGCGAAGGCCGGGGCGGCGCTGCGGGCGCTGGGCCTGATCGCCCTGGGCCTGTGTTCCCACTACTGGCTGCTCCGGCACGTGTCCGGCTTCCGGAGCCCGGCCTCGGCGCTGGCCTGCATGCTCTGCACCAGGTCCCTGCTGGCCCACCCGTACCTGCACGTCAACGTCTTCCAGGTGAGGCCTCCCGCCCGCCCGGCCGCTGGGGACCCCGGGGTGCCCAGGCCACACCCCTCACTGGGGACCAGGGTGTACCCAGGCCACGCCCCTCACTGTGGACCACGGGGTGCCCAGGCCACGTCCCTCACTGGGACCCCGGGGGTTCCCAGGCCTCACCTCTCACTGGAGGAGAGAGGCCCAGAGATGGACCAGACTGGGCTTGGGGCTCAGCCTCTTCACGCTGATGGGATTGAGGGGGGCGAAGGGCCCGCTGGTCCCCGGTGCCGGGTGAAGACCCGGGCGGGGTGGGGGGTGCAGGAATGGCTCAGGCCTTGCCGCGCCTCTGTCACAGCACATCGGGCTGCCCATGTTCTCGCGGGACCAGAAGCCCCGCCGGCTCCACATGATGAGCCTGGGGGTGCTGAACCTGCCGCGGCTGCCCGTGCTGGACTGGGCGTTCGGCCACTCCATCATCAGCTGCCACGTGGAGCACCACCTGTTCCCCAAGCTCTCCGACAACATGTGCCTCAAGGTAGGGGGTGCCGGGGGCCGGGAACCTCAGCATCACCTGAGCCCGCGTCCCCCCACTGACTTCCGGTCAGAGACACGTGGGTTTCTTTTTTTTCCTTTTTGTATAATTTTTATTGATTTCAGAAAGGGAGGGAGAGGAAGAGAGAGATAGAAACACTAATGATGAGAGGGAATCATCGATTGTCTGCCTCCTGCACGTCCCTCCCCTCCCACTGGGGACCAAACCTGTAACCCGGGCATGTGCCCTTGACCGGAATCGAACCCAGGACCCTTGTGTCCACAGGCTGATGCTCTACCCAGTGAGCTAAACTGGCGAGGGCGGGTTTCTCATTAGCAGTGGCCTCAGCAAGCTCCTGGGCATCCCTGAGCCTCAGCTTCCTCCTATGACCTGGGCAGGGAGGAGCGCGCAGTGCTGACATCCGCAGGCCTTGCGCACGAGGTGGAGAAATGGCTCTGAGAGGCTGGGCACACAGCAGGTGCTGCTAAGAGGAGCCGAGGGTTGTGCCCTCTGTGCCAGGAGGACTGTCCCTGGTTGGGAGCCCTGGTGTGGGGGTTGCTGCGGAGAAGCCCGCCCCCTGTCCCTTGCCTGCTGGGAGCGGAGGCAGGAACTCTGCAAGCCCCGGGCTCCCCGGAGCCTGTGGAACTGGGCAGGCAGGGTCAGCGCCGGAGGCGGGAGGGCCTGGGGAAGGGCCGCCTGCAGGCAGTCCCAGGCCGCTCAGCGCCTCCTCCCGCCCGCCTTCCTTCCGCAGGTGAAGCCCGTGGTGTCCCAGTTCCTCCGGGAGAAGCAGCTGCCTTACAACGAAGACACCTACCTCGCCCGCTTCCGGCTGTTTCTCAGCCGCTACGAGGAGCTCCTGGTGCACGCCCCTCCCATCACCGAGCTGGCCGGGCTGCAGTGAGGGCTGCCGGCGGTCCCGCTCCCGGCCCGGCCCAATCCCAATCTTTTTCTGCTTGTCACTCCCTCCCCGGGGTGTGTGGCTGGGCTGCTGGTGGGGACCTGCAGCGCCAGGCTCTGGCGGGCAGGGAGCTGGTGTTTCTTGGCTTTGCGGGGTGCAGGGAGGAAAGGACTAAAGGTGGGCTTTCCAGGCAACTTCATCTCAGGACTACACAGCTGGGTCCTCCCGACGGGGCCTGAGCCTCGGTGGGGCTGAGGGAGGCTGACCCGGCTAGGAGAGGCCTGTGCAGGGGGCAGGCAAGGAGGGGGCATCGAGAGAGCAGGGCCAGCCCTCAGCTGGGGTCTGCCTCGCCCTGGGAGCGTCCTGTACGCAGCAGGGCACTGCCTCCCCCGCGCCCAGAGCCTCCTGTCCTCTGCGGAGCCCTCTCGCAGGGACCACGGGGCGGGGATTGGGCAGGACCTTCCCGGCTTCCCAGCCGGAGGCGCCTGTGCCGGACACGGGCTCAGCAGCTCCCGGGAGCGGGAGCCGCAGCCACAGGAGGATCAGGGAGATCAGAGCGTTTGTGCTTTATAAATAAAGAGGACATTCCGGGTTCCGGAAGTAAGGGGAGAAAGGGTATAAATAGCTTTGAGCATGATCTTGGCTAGCTCCAGAGGAAGTCTGCCGTGTTCCATGGCATTTAGGAGAGGACCTGGAAGAATTTGAGAGAGAGAGAGAGAGAGAGAGAGAGAGAGAGAGAGAGAGAAGGGGGGGTGGTAATAGGCAGGGGTGATGGCACAGGGTCTGGGGGGCAGGCACTTTAGAGGGAAGGAAGGAGGAGGAGGAGATGGGGTGCCCACATAAGAGCTGGGAGTCCAGGGTTGGGCTGGGCTGAGCGAGCATCGTCTGCAGCCCGAGAGCCAGCCTGCATGGGCAGACCTGAGAGAGGGCTGGGGCTGGCCTGGCGGGGCTGGAAGAGGAGGTGTGGGAAGGGCCCCGCTGGAGGCGGGGGGAGGAACAGAGAGGGGCCGGAGCAGCCAGGTTCACCAGGGCCTCTCCCCGTCCTCTGAGGCACTCGGCCGGGAAGGCTTTGTTGACGGGCCCGTGGGTGCATCGCAGGGTGCTCAGCAGCCCCCCTCGCTTCTTCCCACTACGTGAAAACCACCCCCGGCCGACAGCAGGAATCAAGATCTGAGTGCAGAACCGCCTTAGTTTCCAGGGAGGGCCTCGGGCTGGGGGGGGAGGCATACGGACCCTGCTAACGGGCTGAGTCAGGGGCTGGGCGGAGGGTGAGAGGCAGGTGGAAGGTGTTCTCTGCACCTGGTCCTGTCAGAGAACCCACAGGTGTGGCCTGAGATGGCTCTGCGGGGGCGCTGCCATCCGCCCCGCCCCATCCTACCCCCCCCCCACCTGTCTGTCACACCGGCTCCTGCAGCTACAACTCTCACCGCCTGGCAACAGCCCCTTCCATCGCTCCTTCGGGGCCTGGGGCGGGGGTGGCTTCCAGCGGTGAGTAGCCCAGGGTGCTTCACTGGCCCCTCAGTCCTGCTCACACCTCTGCACAAGGTTCCTTCAGCGAAGCCTCTGCCAGTGGGCACTGCCAAGCGCGCCATCTGTTTCCTGCCGGGAGGCTGGCGGGCCCAGCAGAGCTTGGGCTCCAAGCAGCCCTCGTGGAGGGAGGCGGGCTTGGCAGCCTCCCCAGCCGCGGCGGTGATGCCTTTCCCGCTGCTCCTTTGAAGGCTCAGTAGCTAGCGGCGGCCTTCAGGTCCAGCGTTCCGACTCACCCAACTGCCAAAACCCGCGTGAAAAATGCAGCGTCAGAGGAGGCCCCGATGCCGGTCCTGGCTGATGATTAAAGCCATCCTAATCCATCACCGATGACTCAGGGTTATTGATCTGGGCCTGAGTGGGGCCTGGGCAGCAGCGGGAGGCCCTGGAGCAGGCTTGGCTGTACCACAGGCGCCAGAGAACAAGCCACTCGCTCCTTCTGAGGCCGATGTTCCGTGGCTCAGAGAAGGTGGACTGGGATGCCTGGCGCTCGCGAGGGGAGGGGCGGCGACAGGAGGGAAGGGAGCCCTTCCTGGGCTCTGCGGGGACCTAAGCCCTGGTTTACACAGGCCTGTCAGAGGAGGTAATGTTGATAATATTGATGAGGATGAGGATAGTTGACATCTATTCAAAACATAAGGCACTTTTTTTTTTTTTTGTAAGAAACATTTATTTACTGGTAAATCACAGAGGCAGAAAAAGTAATTCCTAGAAGAAAGGGGCTTAAGAAATGAGGTGAGGAGGTAAAGGAAGGGCCCTTGAGCTTGGGAGTGGGAAGCAAATGGTAATGGGCCTGGGGGCGGCGGCGGTGCGGGTGGGAGGGGAAAGGCTCCAGGGAGGGAGAGGCACTGGGTCCTCCATGCTAAGGGTTTTTGTTTTTTTTAAATTATGTTTTATTGATTTTTTACAGAGAGGAAAGGAGAGAGATAGAGAGCTAGAAACGTTGATGAAAGAGAAACATCGACCAGCTGCCCCTTGCACACCCCCCACCGGAAATGTGCTCCCAACCAATGTACATGCCCTTGACCGGAATCGAACCCGGGACCTTTCAGTCCACAGACCGACGCTCTACCACTGAGCCAAACCGGCTTCGGCCCATCCTAAGGGTTTTAAGGGCGGAGATTTTAGGGACGGCTCAGGGGTGAATCCTAATAGAATATGCAGCAGCTTTCCAGGTGTGTTCACTCAGGACTGTGGTCTGCACTGATTGGGCGGCGGGCATTGGGGCGGAGGTCATTATTCATTGCAGCTGGGCCTGAGGCCAGCCATGGCTGGTTTTGCTGTCTCTCTGGGCCGGGAGCTGACGTACAACTGAGGCCTAGCTACTATCTTAAGGCACATTTTTACCTGTCCCGTTTAATCTTCACCAGCACTTGATTCTGTTTTTCCTAACGGGTCGTGTTGTGAGGATCAGTCTCGGAGGGATTACATTTCTCAGCATCATGTGGCTGGTAAATGGTGGGAGAAGGATTCGCACCTAGTGTCCAACTCCAGCCTCCCCGCTCTTACCCACCAAACACAGCGCTTCTGGGAGGGAGCCTTAGAGGGCTTTCAGTATATCTGATCCTTCCCTTCCTCCCATGGAAGGAAGAATAAATGATTTGATCCTTAAGACAAACTCTTGCCCTAGCAGGTTCGGCTCAGTGGATAGAGCATTGGCCCGCAGACCAAAGGGTCACAGGTTCGATTTCAGTCAAGGGCACTGGTCCAGCCCTGGTCCAGGCATATGCAGGAGGCAACCAATTGATGTGACTCTCACATCGATGTTTCTCTCTGTCTCTCTCCCCTCCCTTCCAGTCTCTCTAAAAATCAATGAAAAACATCCTCAGGTGAGGAATAATAATAATAATAAAGACAAACTCTTTATGAACATCTTTTATATGCCAGACACTGTGCACAGCTCTGGGGATATAAGAGTGAATGAGATTGGGCTCCAATCTTCAGGAGTTTACAGTCCAGTGCGGGAGTTAACAAATTTTTTGGAAAGAACCAGATAGTAAATATTTTGGGCTTTGTGGACCATGTGGTCCCTGTCACAAATACTCAAAAAATTTTGTGCCATTAAAGTGTGAAACGGCTATAGACATACGGAAAGAATGAGCATGAGTGTGTTCTAATAAAAAATTTTGAACTTGCGTAATTTTCATGTCACAAAACATTACTCTTTATGTTAAAACAAAACAAAACACTTGAGAATGTAAAAACCTGCCCTGGCAGGTTTGGGTCGGTGGTTAGAGCATTGCCCTCGCACTGGAGGGTCTCTGGTTCAATTCCCGTTCAAGGGCAGGTTCCTTTGCTGGAGCTTGTGTGGGACGCAGCCAATTGATGTATTTCTTTCACATCGATGTTTCATTCTTTCCCTCCCATTGTTTCCCCCTCTCCTCCCTTCCCCTCTCTCTAAAAATAATCAATGAGAAGAAAATATCCTTAGATGAGGATTAAAAAAAAAAAAGTGTAAAAGCCATTAGCTTGTGGGTAGTACAAAAACAGGTGTTGGGTAGGGGTTGGCCTGCAAGCCATAGTTTGCCCACTCCTGTCTGGAGGACAGGCACAAAATGCAACGGCTTATCAGAAACAGGAACATTAGGAGGGAGGGGGAAGAGATGAGAAGGGGCACCAGGGGCTCGGGGGGTGCTGGCCAAGTTCTACTCTTGATCTGGTGGTGGTTACATGATAACATCTTGTGATAACTCATCAAACAGCACAGTTCTGATTCATACACTTTTCTGCTTGTTATACTTCAGTTAAGAATAAAAAGACAACATAATAAGTAATAATGGGGTGGAGTGTTAGAAGACAGAAGGGGCCCTACACCACCTTGGGGAAAAGGAAGCGGAAGCTGGTATTAGGCTTGCTGGGTCAGATGGGACCACAGATCCTGTCATTAAAAATATACTTTGCGAGAGAGGATCCAAGATGGCTGCTCGGGTAGACATCTAGCCGCGGAAGCACACAACAATTTCAATGGAATACAACTAAAATGTAGAGTGGACATTGCCCAGAGCTACAGGTAGTCGACTGACTGAAATTTCTACAACAAGAAGGAAAGAGAAAACCAGAAAGAAAATCAGAGGAGCTGAAAAAAAGCCTAAGGTACGGAGACATGCTGCGCGCGCCTGCCCGCCCGCACGCGCGCACGGAGAGGTCGCAGCCGGAGAGGCGGAGAGGGCGGGGAGCTGCCTTTCCTTCCCTAGCAGGAAGGAAATAAAACCCCCAGCCTGGGCTGGACCCCTGAACCGGCAGCGCTGAGCCCCCCCGAACCGGCAGCGCTGAGCCCCAGTTATGGGCCAGACCCTGGGGACCCAGGCTCCGGCGGGAGGAGACAGGGCCGTGAGGCTGAAAAACGGCGAAAGGCAGGGCCCCGGGAGTCGCGCGCAATGTGCGCAGAGGACTGAATGTTGACTCTGATGCTGGGTTGCCCTAGCCGGAAGAAACAAGGCCTCCGGCGGCGCTGAGCCTCAGTCCGGACTGCTCCGAACCCCAGTTCTGGGCCAATCCCTGGGGACCCAGGCTCAGGCAGAGGGAGACGGGGCTGTGAGGTGGAGTCCGGGGAGAGCGGCGAAAGGCCGGGCCCCCGGGACTCGCGCAAACTGCGCGCAGAGGACAGTCTGTGGGACTCGCGCAAACTGCGCGCAGAGGACAATCTGTTGACTCTGATGCTGGACTTCCCTAGTGGGAAGGAGAAAAAAAAAAGCTCTAGGCTGGGGGAACGCGGAGGGGAGCGGAAGCCCCTGCCGGACTCCAGCCAACCGGGCACCAGCAAGGAGGCGGGCCACGAGGCCCATGGGGGCGTGGGTGCCCCTGAGCCTTTGACCACTGAGCTCGGGCAATGGAGCCAAGTCCGGGGGCTGCTTCCTGGGCGGCGCCGTCCCGGCAACAGGCTGAAGCAGCACAGGAGCCCGCGGAGAACAAAGGGGTGCCACAGGCCAACCTGCTGAAGGACAAGGAGGAAGAAACCAAAGAAGTTCTCAGGACAAGGAGGAAGAAACCAAAGAAGTTCTCAATGTGAAGAAATCAAGTGAGAGCAAAAAATAGTAAAATTACTTAAGAAAGAATACAAAGAAGATCTTGAAAAATCAAAGACTAAGTCAGAACTCAACTCACCAGCCAACATTGCAACATAAATGCGTTTTAAAAAGGACAGAATGTTGGAACAGCGGCGGCCAGGCCTAGAGTGGCCAGGCACAAGGCAGTGGCAGCCAGGCCCGGAGCAGCAACGGCCAGGCCCCAGAACAACAGCAGCCAGAACCAGAGCATCAACAGCCAGCACTGGAGTAGCCAGAACTGGGGCAGTGGCAGCCAGGCATGAGGCGGAGGCGGCCAAGCCCAAGGTGGCCAGTCCAGGAACACCCAGACCCGGAGTGGCCGGGCCCGAAGAAGCCGGGCCCAGAGCAGCCGGGATGGGAGCAGCCAGACCCAGAACAGCAGTATCCAAGCCCAGAGCATCCAGGTCGGGAGTGGCCAGGCTCGGAGCGGCCGGGCCCGGGGCAGCCGGGCCCAGAGCAGTCAGGTCAGGTGCGGCCAGGCCCGGAGCAGCAGCTGCCAGGCAGGGAGCGGCCAGGCCCGGGGGAGCAGGCGGGTCGGGTGCGGCCAGGCCCGGAGCAGCGGCTGCCAGGCTGGGAGCGGCCTGGCCCGGGGGAGCAGGCGGGTCGGGTGCGGCCAGGCCCGGAGCAGCGGCTGCCAGGCTGGGAGCGGCCAGGCCCGGGGGAGCAGGCGGGTCGGGTGCGGCCAGGCCCGGAGCAGCGGCTGCCAGGCTGGGAGCGGCCAGGCCCGGGGGAGCAGGCGGGTCGGGTGCGGCCAGGCCCGGAGCAGCGGCTGCCAGGCTGGGAGCGGCCAGGCCCGGGGGAGAAGGCGGGGCTGGTGCGGCCAGGCCCGGGGGAGCAGGCGGGGCTGGTGCGGCCAGGCCCGGAGCAGCGGCTGCCAGGCTGGGAGCGGCCAGGCCCGGGGGAGCAGGCGGGGCTGGTGCGGCCAGGCCCGGAGCAGCGGCTGCCAGGCTGGGAGCGGCCAGGCCCGGGGAGCAGGCGGGTCGGGTGCGGCCAGGCCCGGAGCAGCGGCTGCCAGGCTGGGAGCGGCCAGGCCCGGGGGAGCAGGCGGGGCTGGTGCGGCCAGGCCCGGAGCAGCGGCTGCCAGGCTGGGAGCGGCCAGGCCCGGGGGAGCAGGCGGGGCTGGTGCGGCCAGGCCCGGAGCAGCGGCTGCCAGGCTGGGAGCGGCCAGGCCCGGGGGAGCAGGCGGGGCTGGTGCGGCCAGGCCCGGAGCAGCGGCTGCCAGGCTGGGAGCGGCCTGGCCCGGGGGATCAGGCGGGTCGGGTGCGGCCAGGCCCGGAGCAGCGGCTGCCAGGCTGGGAGCGGCCAGGCCCGGGGGAGCAGGCGGGTTGGGTGCGGCCAGGCCCGGAGCAGCGGCTGCCAGGCTGGGAGCGGCCAGGCCCGGGGGATCAGGCGGGTCGGGTGCGGCCAGGCCCGGAGCAGCGGCTGCCAGGCTGGGAGCGGCCAGGCCCGGGGGAGCAGCCGGGTCGGGTGCGGCCAGGCCCGGAGCAGCGGCTGCCAGGCTGGGAGCGGCCAGGCCCGGGGGAGCAGGCGGGTCGGGTGCGGCCAGGCCCGGAGCAGCGGCTGCCAGGCTGGGAGCGGCCAGGCCCGGGGGAGCAGGCGGGACTGGTGCGGCCAGGCCCGGAGCAGCGGCTGCCAGGCTGGGAGCGGCCAGGCCCGGGGGAGCAGGCGGGGCTGGTGCGGCCAGGCCCGGGGGAGCAGGCGGGGCTGGTGCGGCCAGGCCCGGAGCAGCGGCTGCCAGGCTGGGAGCGGCCAGGCCCGGGGGAGAAGGCGGGGCTGGTGCGGCCAGGCCCGGGGGAGCAGGCGGGGCTGGTGCGGCCAGGCCCGGAGCAGCGGCTGCCAGGCTGGGAGCGGCCAGGCCCGGGGGAGCAGGCGGGGCTGGTGCGGCCAGGCCCGGAGCAGCGGCTGCCAGGCTGGGAGCGGCCAGGCCCGGGGAGCAGGCGGGTCGGGTGCGGCCAGGCCCGGAGCAGCGGCTGCCAGGCTGGGAGCGGCCAGGCCCGGGGGAGCAGGCGGGGCTGGTGCGGCCAGGCCCGGAGCAGCGGCTGCCAGGCTGGGAGCGGCCAGGCCCGGGGGAGAAGGCGGGTCGGGTGCGGCCAGGCCCGGAGCAGCGGCTGCCAGGCTGGGAGCGGCCAGGCCCGGGGGAGCAGGCGGGACTGGTGTGGCCAGGCCCGGAGCAGCGGCTGCCAGGCTGGGAGCGGCCAGGCTCGGAGCAGCAGCAGCCAAGTCCAGAGCAACTAGGTCGGGAGCGGCAGTGACCAGACCCGGAGCAGCTGGTTGTGGAATGAACCAGAGCAACAGAGGCCAGGCCCTGAGCAGCCAGGCCCAGAACAGCTCGCTCCCTGCCTGCCCCTGCCCCACGGCTGCTTCTCAGACATGGCTGGAAACTTTCGTGGGAACTTGAGGGTCTGCTGAATCAAGTGATGAAGGCTTAGATCTGGATGTGTTGAGTTAGTTTAGGACTGGGGTGTTGATCTGTGAGTGCCTTGGGTGGGGCCTGGATGAGGCTGGTTGACCTAGTGGGAAATGTCTTTTGTGTGAAGTGTATCATTGGGCATGTGGAGGTATTACTGATATGAGAAAATGCTAAGTAACTGATTTACTATCTGAAAAGGGATTTACTATTGGGGAAATTGAGGGAAGAAGAGACTGAACATAAACTGCACCTATGGATGAGGACAATGGGGGATGTTGGGGGGACGGAGGGTGGGGTGGGAACCTGGTGGAGGGGGGAAGAAATGAGGAACCTTTGTAATAATATGAACAATAAAGATTGATTTAAAAAAAAAAATATACTTTGCTCACTGTGTGCGTGCGTGTGTGTGTGTGTGTGTGTGTGCATTAATTTTGCTCTTTTAAAATGTTGCATTAAATAATTATTAATGTTGGTTTTTTGTACCCTCTTAAATTCTGCACTGGAGGCCAGTGCCTCCCTCACCGCACTATTCCAGCCCTGGGACAGGGTCAAGATCTTTGTCCACAGCACCCGGGGCGAATCACTCCTTCCATTTCCCCACCTATGTAATAGGAAGGGACGAGGCAGGACAAAACCTGTGTGGATGAAAAGGGGGTCCTACAGAGTGATGGGATCATAAACCCCTAAATGGGCAGTCTTGGTGGGCAGTCATGCCCCAGGCCTATAGCTTCTTCAGTAAAAGGTTTTGAAGCCAGCCCTGTCCGTTGTTTTTGTGCATATAGGTTAACACGTTTCTGAAATACCATAAGCAATACCTCTGTAAGCACCCTCTAGAGAGCACATAATCTCGTTAACTATCCTGTAGTCCAAAACCTACCTTGCTTTCTTCCATCTTCATAGAATCTTACTTATTAACTTCAAATGCATAAAAGAAACTGCAGCCGAAACCGGTTTGGCTCAATGGATAGAGCGTCGTCTTGGGGACTGAATGGTCCCCAGTTCGATTCCGGTCAAGGGCATGTAGCTTGGTTGCGGGCACATCCCCACTAGGGGGTGTGCAAGAGGCAGCTGATCAATGACTCTCTCTCATCGATGTTTCTAACTCTCTATCTCTCTTCCTTCCTCTCTGTAAAAAATCAATAAAATACATTAAAAAAAAACAAAACCAAAAAACTGCAAAACTTACTCTCAGGAGTATCTGAGATCTTGCTTCCTGGCAATTATCGTCAGTTTTGGCTCAAACACATTTTTATAGAAATTCTCTACAAATTTAGACGGTTCTTATGTGGGCATCTAGGTGGGGTCACACCTGACAGCATCCTGATAAGTGAAAAGCGCCTCCAAGGTCCAGGCGGAGCCCCTTTTAAAGGGGCTTCCGGGTTTGCTGGAGCTTACTGGTGATTGGCTAGCAGGAAACCGGCCAGGCAGGAAGCACGTATCAAAAGGGAAAGGCGCTTTGCGTCATCAGCTAGCGACGAGAGGCTAAGTAAATTCCTCTCTAATTGGTTCCCTTCTTCAATAGGGATTGAAACAGCGATGGGGATTTGTTCCTCTTTGACTCCGGACTTCAGATAACGGGAGAGAGTGTGAATACTGGGGAGCAATTTATTAAGTCACGCAGGGACCGGAAGTCTTGGGGGCGGGCCTTCAGGAGATGGGGGTGGATCCAAGGGCGGGCTTCTCCTCTGGGGGCGGGATTCTTTCCGGCATGGCGGTGGAGCAGCGACGCTGTGCTCTCCCAGAGCGTGGGGGGCGGGGCTGGGGGCGGGGCGGCACCTGGGGGCGGGTCTGGGGCGGGGCCAGGGCGGAGCCCGCGCCCGGCGCGGAGCGGGGCGGTCATCGCCATCAGTTCCGCAGGCTGAGTGCAAGCCCCAGCCATGGCTCCCCGCTGCTGGCGCTGGTGGCACTGGTCGGCATGGCCTCGGACCCGGCCGCCTCCCGCCGGGAGCACTCCGAGTAGGAGCTGGGCACTCCTGGGACTGGATGGGGACGCGGGGAGGAAGGCCTGCGAGCGCCAAGTGGAGGGGTTGGAGCCCGACTGGGGCAGAGCAGGAGAGGGACGAGAGAGGGGACTGGAGGCGTCCGCTCGCAGGGACAAGATGGGGTGGAGTACGGGGCAGATGGGAGCCTGTGGGCTGAGGTGCCTAGGGTGAGACCAGGGTCCACATAGGTGAAAGGGGGAAACCATGACTCCACAGGTGGGAGAAGGGGTGAAGGGGGGTGATAGGGAGGTCTGTGGGGCAGGAGAGAAGTCTGAGGCGGAACCGGGGTGGATAGGAATGAGGCGGTCTATTGGGGAGTGCGGGTTCTATGGAGGGAAGGGGGAGAGAGATCATTGGAGCCCTGTGGGAAGACCCACCGGGAGAGATTGGGTGATACGGGGTCCGTTGGAAGGATGCAATATTCTAGCTGGGTGGGTGGGTAAGAAACATGGAGTTCTGGGGGGGTTGTTGAGTTGGTCATCCTCTGCCACATAGTAAGTTCATGCGTGAAATGTGGGGTTCAGAATGAAGACACGGCCTTTGAGGCTCAGATGAAATAAGGAACCCTACCAACAGCAGAGCTTTGGCGGAAAGGAGGGACGCCTCGCCCCTCTTGTGTTCAGCATTGAAGCTGGTTTGGGAGTGGGAGGGCGTGCTGTCCTGACCTCCCCTGCCCCGTCCCAGGCTCCCGCCGGCTGCTCTCCACGCAGGAGCAGCCCCCCCAGATCTGTGTGGTGGGCAGTGGCCCGGCTGGCTTCTACACTGCCCAGCACCTGCTGAAGGTAAGCCACACCCCCGCCCCTCACCCATCCACTGCTGCTCCAGGGGCAGCCCTCCCCTCTGGGATCCCTGATGGGGAAGAGTCACCCCTCTCCCCCCTCATCTAGACAGGACACTTTCTACAAACTTTGTCACCTACATCCGGGGCTCCGCCTCTAGTCCTCAGCCATGAGAGAAGTGCTTGTGCTTCGTGATGATGGTCAGTGGTCAGTGGCAAGTGGTGGGCCATGCCTCCTGGGCCCAGCCCTCCAGGGAGCTGGTGCAGACCTGCAGGAGGACCTGATCCTGCCTCCCAGCTTCCCTCTCTTCTGTCTCCACTCTGCCCCCAGTGTCCTGCATCTCGAGGCGCTGCCCCTTCTTCTCCAGGTCTTCTGGAACTTTATCCACTTCCTGTGCCCTCCTCTCCCCATGCTGTTCTTTCAGCCTGCTCTGCACCCCCCTCCCCTCCCCCGAAGGCCAGGGTCTCAAGGCTTACAGTATGGCCTTGGTGGGCAGGGCCCCAAGGTTCCTCATTACCCTTGAGACTTTGCCAGACCTTGGACCGTGGTGGGAGGGAGGGAGGGAGGGAGGGAGGGAGGGAGGGAGGGAGGGAGGGCGAGCGAGCCATGGTGAGGCCTGAGGTAGGTGGGCCCAGATCCTGGGCCTCGGAAGCCGCCAGCCAGGCTTGGACGCACACTGCTTATCGTGGTGCTGCCCACCCCTCTCCCTCCACAGTCCCGTGTTAAAATGCACATTCCTGGGCCTAGCTCAGGCCTAATCAAACTGTCTGGAGCCCAGGAGTCAATGGTTTTAAACACCACCCCCCTTCCCCCGGGCAATCTGGTGCCCGCTGCCATGGTGGTTCCTTCACTGAAGGCTTTAGGGGCGGGACTGCCAGCACCCTGTTTTTTATTTGGGGGGTCTCTCTGCCTGCAGGGCAGACAGTGGGGTGGGGAGGCGGGCTGGTGGCTGGGAGGAGTCGGGGCTGCTGAGGGGCAGTGGAGAGGAGGAGGAGAGGGTGGGGAACCCACTGGACAGAGTGGAGAGCCCCAGGTCTGCGAAGCTTCCCCAGGGGATGTATGCCTACAGGAGACTGGGGGTCCCGGATTGGAGGAACCTCAGAGGAAGTTTCTGTTGGAAGGGGACAGACTGATAAAAAGAAAAAAGAAAAAGGGGAATGCCCTAGCTGGTGTGACTCAATGGAAAGAGCATTGGCCTGTGGACTGAAGAGTCCCAGGTTTGATTCTGGCCAAGGGCATATACATGCCTGGATTGTGGGCTCCATCCCCAGTAGGGGGTGTGCAGGAGGCAGCCGATCAATGGATTCTCTCTCATCATTGATGTTTCTGTCTCCCCCTCTCCCTTCCTTTCTGAAGTCAATAAAATATATTTTAAAGAAGAAGAAGAAGGGGGGCAGAGGAAGAGGGGATTGAGAAAGACAGCTGGTGCCGAAACCGGTTTAGCTCAATGGATAGAGCGTCGGCTTGGGGACTGAAAGGTCCCGGGTTCGATTCCGGTCAAGGGCATGTACCTTGGTTGCAGGCATATCCCCAGTAGGAGGTGTGCAAGAGGCAGCTGATCGATGACTCTCTCTCTCATCGATGTTTCTAACTCTATCTCACTCCCTTCCTCTCTGTACAAAAATCAATAAAATATATTTAAAAAAAAAAAAAAAAAAAAGAGAGAGAAAGACAGCTGGAGGGATAGGAGGGAGCTTGAAGGTCAGGGAGGAGGGGCTGCCTGGGAGTGGAGGTCGGCCTTGCAGGCTGACGCGTCTGGCAGACGTAGCTGTCTGGGCGGCCTGGGAGGGCCTGTGACAGGGAGGGAAGGACCCTGCCAGGAGGAACGGGAGATAACGGCCGTGTCAGGTGTCCGCCAGGCTCCGCAGTTTGAACTTTGACTTGTGGCACTGGGCAGCCAGGGAAGATTCATGGGCGAGGCCGTGACTGCCAACAACAACAGTAATAGTAATCCTAGCTTGGGCGGGCTGCACACTCACCGCGGTCAAGCCCTGGGTCTTTTTTTTAAAAACATATTTTATTGATTTTTTTTTTTAGAGAGAGGAAGGGAGAGGGATAGAGAGTTAGAAACATTAATCAGTTTCCAAGGCTCTAAGGCGGGGCGCGTGGAACGTCTGACCTGGGAGCCGAGGCTGCTCCCTGTCCCCTGCGGTGGAGGGGACGCTGACCACCTCGCCTCCTGTGGCCGAGGTCTCTGTCCCCTCGAGGTCTCCAGGTCTGGCCCCGGCGGCCCATTCCTCTGGGTGGCTCTCTGGGCAGCTGGGGAGTGAGGGGCCTCCTGTGTCCTCTGCCCACTGCTCTGCCTGGGAAGGGGGTCCAGGGTCCCGCGTCCCCGTCCCACCACCTGCCGCCCCTCCCCCCGCAGCACCACGCCCAGGCCCGTGTGGACATCTACGAGAAGCAGCTGGTACCCTTCGGCCTGGTGCGCTTTGGCGTGGCGCCCGACCACCCCGAGGTGAAGGTGGGTCTCCGGGCCCGGATGGCAGGGGTGGAGACATCGGTCAAGGCGAGGAGGGAAGGGATGGAATGACCCCGGACCCTGTAGATGCCACCGAGATCCCATCCCGGGGACACTGTGGGGCGAGGGTGGCACAAGCATGGCCCCTGGAGCTGCCGCCCCCTCTAACCCCTGCCATCGGGGCCCGGCAGAATGTCACCCACACCTTCACCCAGACGGCCCTCTCTGACCGCTGCGCCTTCCACGGCCACGTGGTGGTGGGCAGGGACGTGACCGTGCCGGAGCTGCGCCAGGCCTACCACGCCGTGGTGCTGGTGAGTGCCGTGGCGGGGAGGAGGCGGAGGCTGAGGGCTGGAAGGCAGAGGGCGAGGCCCAGGGTGGAGGGGCGGGGTGGGTGGGGGACCGGGGAGGAAGCCGAGGAGGCTGGCGCTGAGGGCCCTGGGTCTGTCCTCAGAGCTACGGAGCGGAGGACCACCGGGCGCTGGGGATCCCCGGCGAGGAGCTGCCGGGCGTGTTCTCGGCGCGGGCCTTTGTGGGCTGGTACAACGGGCTCCCTGAGAACCGGGAGGTGAGTTGGGGAGCACTGCTGCTGCCTCTCAGCCGGGGCAGGGGCAGCTCTTAGAGGCCGGAGCTGGGGGAAGAAGGAGCCAGGGCCGAGGATTGGAAGGCTCCCGGGAGATGAGAGGAGAGACATGAGGCTGGTGAGGTGGGAGGTCACCCATGGAAGAGAGGAGTGGGGCCAGGTGGGGTGGGAGGCTGAGTGGAGGCTCCGATGGAGTGGATTTCTCCAGGGTGGGGGAGCCCAACCAGAGCCAAGGCTAGGGACACCCTACCCAGACCTCTCCCCTCCAGCTGGCACCGGACCTGAGCTGCGACACGGCCGTGATTCTGGGGCAGGGGAACGTGGCCCTGGACGTGGCCCGGATCCTGCTGACCCCACCTGAGCAGCTGGAGGTGAGTGGAAGTGTCTGGTGTGCCTCAGGACCTTTGCACATACCACTCTCCCCGCTAGGAACCCTCTCAGCTCACCTCCTGCTGGTTCATCTTTTAATTTTTTTTAATTGATTTTTTTATTTTATTGAATTTGTACAGAGAGGAAGGGAGAGAGATAGAGAGCTAGAAACATCAATGAGAGAGAAACATCGACCAACTGCCTCTTGCACACCCCCCGCTGGGGATGTGCCCGCAACCAAGGTACATGCCCCCAACCGGAATCGAACCTGGGACCCGTCAGTCCCCCAGCCAACGCTCTATCCATTGAGCCAAACCGGTTCCGGCTGCTGGTTCATCTTTTAGTTCTTGCTCAATTGTCCCCTCAGGAAGCCTTATGCTCCCTCTCATAGACTTGTCTACTGTGTCACAGCATGTGACCTATTTCACGTCACATTTTTCATCAGTGAGTAGCTCACAAGTATCTCTTCCTCCATCGGAGCAGGAGCTCCGGGAGGACGGGCACCATGTTTCTTTTGTGCACCATTAGCACCGCCCTCCCCCTGCCCCTTGCATGGTGCCCTGCACATGGTAAACTTGTTGAGGGAGAGCATGCACCCGGTTTGCTACGAGTTTGAGCCATTTGCAGAATTGGCGACGGTGCAGTGCTCCACATGGCCACCAGGTGGGGGCAGAGGTACACTTTCCAGCTGTCCCCTCTCAGGCTCTGGGGAAGTGGAGAGGCTTAGTGTTGGGTGGGTTTAAGGCCCTCCTTTTGTGCCAGAAAACGGACATCACGGAGGCCTCCCTGGGGATCCTGAGGCAGAGCCGGGTGAAGACGGTGTGGATAGTGGGCCGGCGTGGACCCCTGCAAGTGGCTTTCACCATTAAGGTGCTGGGGCCAGAGAGAGAGGGGGGTCTGGGCCCTAAGATGGTCTTCCCTTGGGAGGAGAGCAGGGCAGAGCCCCTTGGAATGCTGCTGCCCAGGGTGGAAGAGGGGAGCCAGGCGGGGCCGGGGGAAGGGTGTCCCCTCCCTGGCCCGGGCTCTGGGGTGTGCTCAGGAGTGGATGTGCCCTGGGCCTGACCTCCTCACCTCTTCCCACCGCCACCCCCAAGGAGCTTCGAGAGATGGTTCAGTTACCGGGAACCCGGCCCCTGCTGGATCCTGCGGATTTCTTGGGCCTCCAGGACAGATTGAAGGGTGAGGGCCCTGGCCTGGCCCCCCGGCTCACCAGGGAGGGGATGGTCTAGGTCAGCAAGGGCTTGGGGAGGGCACGTGGGGAGAGGGCTGAACCCCGGGAACAGCCCTGAGGCGCTCTGTGTCGCCCACAGAGATGTCCCGCCCGAGGAAGCGGCTGACGGAGCTGCTGCTGCGAACGGCCACCGAGAAGCCAGAGCGGGAGGAGGCTGCCCGCCGGGCAGAGGCCTCCCGCGCCTGGGGCCTCCGTTTTCTCCGAAGCCCCCAGCAGGTGCTGCCCTCCCCGGACGGGCAGCGGGTGGCAGGCATCCGCCTGGCGGTCACCAGACTGGAGGTGAGTTTCCTGAGACCCAGAGACACCCCTGTTCCCCAGCCTCCTCACCCCGGCCGGGTGCTGCCCACACTCTCCCCACAGGGTGTCGGTGAGACCGCCTGGGCAGTGCCCACTGGCGACACGGAGGACCTCCCTTGTGGGCTGGTGCTGAGCAGCGTGGGGTATAAGAGCCGCCCCATTGACCCCAGTGTGCCCTTTGACCCCAAACTTGGGATCATCCCCAATACGGAGGGCCGGGTTGTGGATGTGCCAGGTGAGAGGGTGCAAGAAGGCCAGGCACCAGGCTGTGGCGGGGATGGGGAGGCGGCTATCGCCTGGGCCGTTCACATCCCTCCCTCCCTCCCTCCCTCCAGGGACCCGCCCTGGGAAAGGGCCTGAGCTGAGCCCGGGGTTTGGGCCCGGGAAGCAGCCCCTCCTCCTCCTGCCCCGGGGAAGCTCCCAGTAGCTCGATGCGCCCCTATGTGTGCTCCCTAGTGGTTCCATTTCCTGAGGGAGGCCTGGCGGGGTGAGGCCTGCACTCAGCGGGGTTTGGAGCCCCGTCCAGGGGCTTCCAGGCGGGTTAGCTAGCCACACACCAGCCCGGTCCTTCGGTAGAAGTTTACGAAAGGCCTGCTGACCTGGAGGCAGGCAAGACCTCGTTCCTGCCCCCAGGGACACAGGGAAAACAGGTTCCGCAGAATCCGGGAGATGGGGCTGTGGCCACAGCAGGCCCACCTGCCGGGGCTGCTGGGAGGACGTGGGGTGTCGGACGTATGTGCACACAGGTGTCCAGCCACCGGCCCTTGCTTTACTCCTCCATTACCCCCTTCCCCCCCTTCCCAGGCCTCTACTGCAGCGGCTGGGTGAAGCGGGGGCCCACGGGCGTCATCGCCACCACCATGACCGACAGCTTCCTCACCAGCCAGGCGCTGCTGCAGGACCTGAAGGCCGGGCTGCTGCCCGCCGGCCCCAGGCCCGGCCACGCGGCCATCGAGGCCGTGCTCAGCAGCCGAGGTCTGGGCCCCCTGAGAGCCCCAGGAGTGGGGTGGGCGGCCTGGGCCTTCCCGTTGGGAGGGGTGCCCTGGGCTGGGATGGAGGAAGAGGGGGGGCAGTGACTCACTCCCCTCTGCCTCAGGCGTCCGGCCCATCTCCTTCTCGGACTGGGAGAAGCTGGATGCCACGGAGGTGTCCCGGGGCCAGCGCACTGGGAAGCCCAGGGAGAAGCTGCTGGATCCTCAGGAGATGCTCCGGCTGCTGGGGCGCTGAGCCCGGACCCCAGCCCTGCAGGGAGGGGAGTGTGCGCAGAGGAGAGGGGCCGGGTCGGTCTGAGCAGGACTCTGCACACAGCTGCGCCCCCGGCCCGCCCTGGCCCAGCCTCTTGGCGGCCTCTTCCGGGGACCAATGAGCACGCCCTCCTGCCAGAAGGTCACCCTGGTCAGCGCGGGTTTAAGTCTCGGCGAGGAGATGGCCTCCGTTAGGGCGGGGTGCAGGTGCAGGCTGACCTCGCTCCCCCTCCCACCTCTCCTGCTGGACCGTGTGGGTCACCAGGTCCGGAAAATGCTGAAAATAAAACAGCTGCCACGGACAGCCAATGGCTGATGTGCCTGATTTCTTCTGGGGCCTGGGGTCACCTTCCAGCCGCAGCTCCCCTCCGGCCCCCAGGTGGCGCTGCAGAGCCAGCTCCCTGCTCTGGGGGCGGGGGGTGGGGGTGGGGGGGCTGGCGGTAGGTTTGGTAGCCAGGCCTGGCCCGAACCCTCCCTTTCCCTCCCGGGCCCTGCTGCTGTGGCCTGCCTGCCTTCTGCCCACACTCCAGGCACCCAGGCGCCCGGGCCTGCCTGCCCTGCTGGTCTCACCGGTCAGCTCAGGCTACAACCGAAACAAGAGAAAAACGGGAGCGAGGGGACTGGGCAGCGGCCTGCCCACCCGTCCTGTGCGGGCAGGTCCCTGCTCTGCTCCCAGTGCCTTCCCTGCGAGTCCGCTTCCAGCCAGTGCACAGCCGGCTGCACCAGAATCCCCGTAGCGCTTTGCAATTTGCAGTTTACAAAGCGTGTCCACCGTCTAAACGCCAGTCCCCACGGTGCTGCCTCGCTTTGCAGACGGGGGATCCTCGAAATGAACCGGCCCAAGGTCGCACAGCCGGTGAGCCGCGGGCTCGAACCCAGGCTCCGGGCTGGTGTTTGCTCCGAGGCTGCCTTGGTTTCCAGCCTCAGTCTGGAGACCCGACCCGCGGGCAGCCAGAGGGGGCGGAGGAGCGGGCGGGCGGCGGGGCGGGCGGGGCGGAGGCGCGGGCCCGGGGGAGCGCTGCCTCGGCCACCGCCGCCTGGGAGCCCGGGAGCCCGAGGGCGGCGCGCCCCCAGCCCGGACCGGGCGGCCGGAGGGGTGCGGGGGGGGGGGTGCGGGGGCGGGCCCAGCGGAGCCCAGCCCAGCCCGCCGGGTCCGGCACCGGCACCGGCCCCGGCCGCGCTCCCGGGCTCTGCGCTCCGGCCGGAGCCGAGGCGCCGGACGGGCTCCGCGGAGGCAGCCGCGGCGCAGGGCCGTCCCCGGTGAGTGGCGGCGGGAGAGCCAGGGCGCAACTTCGCCAACTCGGCTGGTCCCGGGGCGGCGCGGGCGAGGGCGGCGGGGGCGGCTGCGGGACCGCGGGGACTGGGCCGAGGCCGGGAGCCGGAGGAGGGGCGGCCGGGGAGCGGGACCCCGGGACCGGGCTGGGCTCTGCGCTCGGGCGGGAGGAGAGGAGGCGAGGAGAGGCCGAGGCGACAGGCGCGCGGCGGCTGGAGGGAAGGACGACGCTCCTCTCCGGGGTCGCCCAGCCCGCCCTCCGGCTCCTTCCCGGGCGCTGCGGCCGCCGGGGGTGGGGGTGGGTGGGCCGGTGCGGGGGCGCGGGAGCCGGGGCTGCGGAGCCCCCAACTGTTGCTGCCGGAAGGCGCCGGGGCCGGAGCGGAGCCGGGAGCAGGGACCGCAGGGACCGCGCTGGGTCCGAGCGGGATGGGCTGGAGCGGGTGGGAGGCAGGGGAGCCGGTGTGTGCGTGTGTGTGTGTGTGTGTGTGTGTGTGACTCCAGGCGCCCGCCTCCGGCTCCCGGGGGTCCACGGAGCGCTTACAGAGCCGCCTGCCTGCACCCCCGCCCGCACCGCCCCGAGCGTCCCGCCTCCCCCACCCCGCCCCGCGCCTCTCCCTCCGAGGCGGCCCTGGGCTCCCTCCTCGGACCCTGGCGAAGCAGCGTGGGCTTAGGGGTGGAGGGATCTTCCCAAATGCTGACCCTGCGCCCCCGGACCCAGGTTCTGTGCACGGGAAGGAAAGGGTGGCGGAGAGGCCCTGGGAGAGCCGGGAGCCCGGGGCGCTGGGAGCCCGCGGCGCCGGCCTTGGCCACCGCGCCAGCAGGTGGCTCTGTCCCCGAGGCCACGACCCCGATCCCCGACGGGGAAGGGAAGCCGGAGTCTCTGGGAAGGCGGGTCCGGGCTAGGCTCGGTGGCTGGGCCAGGGGCGTGCCAAGGCCAAGGCTTCCAGCAGACAGATCCCCGAGGTGCGTCCCGGCCCCTCCGGAGGCCCTGCGGGGCGAGCGAGGCGGGAATGGCCGGGCCCTGTGCTCACCGCACGGTCCACCTGGCTCCCACCCCGCCAGCGCGATGGGGCTTCCGGCTCCCCCCCACCCCCGGCCCAGCCCTCGATGGTGGCTCTCCGTGGCTGGGTCCGCAAGGCTGGGCCAGGGGGAACCGAGGGAAGGAACCCTGTCCGGAGCCCGTCTGGTTTCCGGCCGTGCCCGTCAGCTACGCACCTGTGTGGGAACTCCCTGCCAGGAACTGGCATAGGAACTTGGAGGGGCCCGTCAGGCCGGAAACGGGGCTCCAGGGTTTCCTCCCGGCCCTGGGCTGGCCCCGCTGTGCCCCGCAGAGCCCGCCTGCAGGGAGCTCCGAACCCCACCCACCCGCCCGCCAGCGGCTGCGGCCGCCACTCCGCTGGGGGAGAGGGAGGGGGGCCCGGGAACCGGACGCCCCCGTGGGTGGCGGGAGGCGGGGGGCGCGGGTGCGGGTGCTTGTCTGGCCGCCAGGAGGCGTGGCGCGGTCCCCGAGCCGGAGTCACCCCGCCGCCGCCGCCGCCGCCGCCGCATCGCGAGTGTCCTTGAGCCCGAGTGGCGGTAGCTCCCGCCGCTCCAGCCCCCTCCTCCCGACGCCACGTCCCTGTGAATTTTATCGCCGCTAAAAATACCCGAACTTCACAGCCCGGGTAAGAGATCCGGCCGATGGGCGGGGATGGGGACTGGGGGGGGGGGGCGGGAGCAGTGGAGGAGGGAGACCTCCGTGCGGGAACCAGGGCGGGGGGTGCAGGACCGGGGCCGCCTTCTCCCCGCCTCTGGGTGCGGGTTTGGCTCCGCCAAAGGGAGGAGGGAAACCCGACGGCAGAGCCGAGGCCGCTCGCAGGGAGGGAAGCAGCGCAGCTGGTGGCTCCTGACCCGGCGGAGGGGGCCTTCAGAGCCGGTGTGAGTGTGTGTGAGGGGGTGTGTGTGTGTGTGTGTGTGTGAGTGTGTGAGTGTGTGTGAGTGTGTGTATGAGTGTGTGTGAGTGTGTGAGTGTGTATGAGTGTGTGAATGTGTGTGTGTGTGAGTGTGTATGAGTGTGTGAATGTGTTTGAGTGTGTGTGTGTGAGTGTGTGTGTGTGAGTGTGTGAGTGTGTGTGAGGGTGTGTGAGTGTGTATGAGTGAGTGTGTGTGTATGTGTGTGTGAGTGTGTGTGTATTTGTGTGTGTGTGTGAGTGTGTATGAGTGTGTGAATGTGTGTGTGTGTGTGAGTGTGTGTGAGTGTGTGTGTGTATGTGTGTGTGAGTGTGTGTGTATTTGTGTGTGTGTGTGAGTGTGTATGAGTGTGTGTATGAGTGTGAGTGTGTGTGTGTGAGTGTGTGTGTGAGTGTGTGTGTGGGGGGGCGCACACATGCACAGGTCCGTGCTCGGAGCTTGCCAGAGACTGGGGGAGCTGGGGGAGCTGGGGGAGCTGGGGGAGCGGGTGGGGGAAGCGTCCTCCCGGGCCATGCAGGGGTCTGTTCACCAAACATTAACTTCTGCGTGTTCCGCGTGTGGGAGGAATGGCCGCAAGCGGGTGGGCAGAGCTCTCTACGACAGTCCTCTGTGGGTGGGGCAAGACTGAGGGGCAGTACCTGCCAGGGGCAAACGACAGGCGCCACCTCAGAGGCAGAGCCTGCCGCTCCCCAACCCCGGAGGTGTGTGTGTGTGTGTGTGTGTGTGTGTGTGTGTGTGTGTGTGTGTGAGGGGGCAGTGCACCTGGCCTGGAGCCCCCAGACCCAGGTCTTCTCCCCGGGACCAGAGCCTGCGTGGCCCGAGGCCGGTGCCGAGTGGGAGAGGGACGGAGGTTGGACTCCGGCGGCTCTGGAATCCTGCCCTGGAGAACAGCCTGCGGGGCAGCAGAGAGAGGCCGGAGAGGAGGCCTGGGGGCTGGCAGGGAAGTGGGCTCCGTGGAGGGGAGGGCAGGGGGTCAGGGTGAGTGGAGAGCTGTCCCTGGGCCCAGCTGTCTGCCTTCCTCTGTGGTGCTGTTGGAGGAGGGTGTTGAGGCCGGCGGCCGGCAGGGTGGGCGGAGGGGGGTGGAGAGGTGAGAGCCCGGGAAGGCAAGTGGCAGGTGGGATTGGCCAGGGCTGGGGTCCGCCCTCCTGTCTTGCAGGGGCGGGGTGCCACGGGGTGCCAATCTCCTGGAACCTTCCCGTTGCTGTTTGAAGCTCAGAGACTGGCTGCTCCCAGCGCCTCCCTCCGGAGTCTCTGTGATCACTCCCGGGGAGAGGCACCCCCTGCCTCAACTTCCCCTGCTCCTCCGCTCCTCCCTCCAATCCCGGCGGACATTTCCCCAGAGAGCGCCCCTGGGCCGTGCCAGGAACCGAGAGCTGGGGCGTGCTGTCCACAGGAGAGAACCTGAGGGCTGCATGTGTAATTAAAATTTTTCTCCTAGTCACCTCAGACAAAGTAAGAAGAAACAGGCGAATTTAATTAAGTTTATTTATTATTTTTAATTGCTTTTTTACAGAGAGGAAGGGAGCGGGATAGAGATTTAGAAACATCGATGAGAGAGAAACATTGATGAGCTGCCTCCTGCACACCCCCTACTGGGGATGTACCCGCAACCAAGGTACATGGCCTTGACTGGAATTGAACCTGGGACCCTTCATTCCGCAGGCCGACGCTCTATCCTAAACCGGCTAGGGTGTGAATTTAATTTTAATAGTATATTTTATTTAACTCAAAGCACCTGAAAGGGCATTAATGTGATGGAC